TAATCCTTGTGAGTTTGCTTCATACCTATTCTAAGCATTAGCCATAGTATAGGCATGAGGCTCCCAATTTGTGATTTAGCTGCCGAGCTGGCAGAGAGGATTTAAATTACTTGTTTCCAGATGAGTTCATTGCTGCCAAGATAACTCTTACACATAAAGGAGCTTACAAGATTTCATGGTTTCTGCTACAGATGAATTGGATAGATAACCTTGATGGTGAGGGTATCAGGATGCACTTGTGAGAGCCAAGAATGACCAACTTTACATATTATGCCTGGAGGACTGTTGTGAAACAGGAGAAAATGGCTCTGTAGTTGATTTCTGAAGGATACTGATACAGTGGAAGACAACTTCTGTGTTCGTATGATAAATGATAGATTAGGAAACCAAAAGTGTTGGTGAAGGTGACTATCCAGAAAAGTCAAACACATTGGCTACTAGAGAGCTCAGCAACCTGCAGTAGCCAAAGAACCTTCAGGTTATGGATACACTGACAGATCCCTAGTCTCACTGACAGATGCAATGCCTAGTCTCACTAACTAATGTATAAATCACATATTCATGTGTGAAACCCTTTCATGTCAATTGAAACCCGTATCATGGGTGCTCCCATCTTCTTTTCTGTTGGGAGCTACTTGTTCTAGTCTCTTCCTTGTGTCTAACAGTGAGTCAAGTGCAGGAACTAATTTGGCTGAAAGCTAAGTTAGAGAGATTTGCTATTAACTGGGTCAGTTCTACAGTTTGTCTCACTGTGTGGACAACTTTTACTGGTGTAAAGGAGGAGAAAATAAGAAGCTGTGATGCAGAAATGGGTGCTATTCCAGGATCTTCCTGAAAAATGTTTTTGAAAGCAGAAAAGATGATATGTTTGCTATTTTTGCACAGGTTGGGTGAACCCAAGCTGTGGGTAGGGGAAGAAGCTGAAAGAGAAGCACAATCTCTGGTCCTTGTCATAGGAAACCTTGACTTGGTTAGCTAGGGTTGGCCTAGGTTTTTTAGTACAAAGAATTACTCGAATACAACTGACAGAAGAATGCAGAGGATGACCAAAGGGCTTTTTGTTGCTGATCAGTGTCATTGTGGTCAAGAAGACTGGTGTTTTTCCTTGTCCTTTTCCTTATCTTGGCTTGAATTCTCAGCGAGCCCTGAATAAAGATAGAGATGCCTGAATCTGTTACTTAGGTGCAGATGCTTTCATGAGAGCTAGGATCAATGGAGACCTTATCAATACAGTTACTGGAGACCAGAGGAGCTATTAATTTGGTCAAGTATTGGTATGGATTAAAGGGTGAGCTGAACAGTTCTCTAGATTCTATAGACTAAAATGATCAAATTTCCATTATCTATAGTGGTAGTTTACATATCTAGTTTGCACGTTTGTACTTACTTTAGGTGCCTTACTCTGCAAACTAAATTTTTATTCCAAAAGGGTAATTAAAATTAAAGCTGCCCTCACTACTGTTGTACAATCCAATATCAGGAATACTTTATTCTCCTATGTAAAATTCATTATTTTATAAACACTTCCAAACCTCAGTTTCTCCATCATGAAATATTCTGCTGTTTGCCACTCTGGTGCTGAGATTTTACAACTTAGTGCTCAGAGGGTTTTGACTGAATGTAAACCTTTGGCATTGCCATGGTAACTACAGGAGAGAAAGTATGGTTGTATAATCCTTCTTAAGTAATACAGTGTTGTGTTTTTCTTGGTAGACAAAGAGATTCTAGGTAGTCATAAGCATATTAAACAGCCTGTGAATATCAAAGTTGCGCATATACTCCTTTTCAGAAAAATGGAAATTGTTTAACAAAATTGTAATGTGTGGTAACACCTCAGGAATATAAATACAAAATTTCTGGAGCTTCCGTTTTGAGTAAAGGTGGGCAAACTAACTTCAGAACAATCATTTTGGTAAAATTTCCTTTGCCTTAGTCCTACAGTTTAATAGAAAAGTAACAAGTAATCATGGTAATCTGGTTGCTTACCAGAAAAAGGGCTAAATTATTGTCTGACTAATCAAAATGGAATTTACACCTTTTAATGTGATATATTCCTGTGTGATAGCCTAAACGTGTTCATGTAAGTGTTTTTGTACAGTGCAAATGATATTTGAGAGCCAACATGATATTGATGATACTGCTGTATTTTTAAGTAGATTTTTTTCTCTAGTTTTCTCATTTCTTTAATTATTTTTGTTAGAAAAATACAGAATATTGTAGACAAGGTTATGACTGTTATTTAAAACCAAAAAATATCTGGACATCCTTTTTGTTTTATGCTTTCCAACTTTCATCCTCTGAATCTTGGTAAAGACTGCAGGAACTGTAAAACTGTTGTCTTATTGACAAGAAACAGCAGAAGTTGCACACTTCTGCAAGCAAAACTAAACCCAAGGTACATTTTGGCACAGTTGCTTAAGTAAAACAAGCTTTATATGCCTAATCCCTGCAGCACCCTGGGTCTGTAGAGGTACATATGTGGATAGAAAATACCTATACCTGAAGAGACACAAACTTGAAAAACAAAAGCTATTTTCCTGTAAAAGAGAAAGGAAAAATATGTTCTGAATGGAAAGGGTTTTTTTTCAGTTTTCCATGAGTTTTCAGCAGCTTCCTAATGGGACATACAAACTGAAGAAGGAATGCAAGCATAGGTTCTGATCCCTCAGCAACTTTTTTCTCTAACTGCTGGCCCACAGAAATTTGGCATCTGTGGTTCTCAGTCATGAAAGTAATCCACTAAGTGGAAATTTTTTTTTCTGTTTTTTTTTTCCTTCCCATCTATGAGATACATTTGGTGTTTTGATGTCCTTCACAATGTCAGAGACTGATTACACTTAGCACAGTTTCCATTTAAAGAAACAAGATCGTGAATCCTCAAATTAGTATTTTCTGACAACATTACTCTGCATGTTGTCTTTTTTTTTCTCTTCTTTCCTCTTTCCCTCACCCATGGGAGGTAAGGAGAGAGGATAACTAAATAAATTTACACTATTTTGTCCAACAATTTCATTAGAAATCCCACAAAGATAAGAGTGGGGCTCTAGGTCCTGAAGAATTTAATCCTGAGAAATCTGTCATAGTAAAGCCCTCACTGTAAACAAGGAAAAGTCCAGTGCCAAATCATGCAGCCTGCATGTATTGTCCTTTTCCTGGGTACGTTCATAACACATAGCCATGGAACCAGAATAATCTAGTTTGGTGATGTGCCTTTTGCCAGAAATTTATCTTTGAAAGGAAAAGGCCAGTCTGATATATTACATAATTCTGTGCCAGATCCAGAGCCAGTTGCTTTGTTCCCATCCTGGCAGTGCCACAGTATGTTTCAGCATGAGAACTTCACTGGCTCAGTAATTGTGATGATAAACAACAAAGCCTACTGAAGTTTACAGCTGCTTAGTAATATATATGTAAGCCTTAAGTATTTCTAATAGTGCTCTGAGCAATGTACTTTTAAACCTTCGTATAATTCTCCTAGAGACTGCATGGGCTGGAAAGATCACCCCCTTCTGATGTTATTAAATTAAAATCTCTAAGAAACCTGTGGATCTGGAATTCTGTGCGTAGGAGGGAGTGAGATGGACATGATTCAAATATCATCCTTCAAAAAACACTCAAATAACTTGTATAAAAGTATGCATGAAGGCTCTTTGCTCTTTTTCTTAGGGGAGTCTGGCTCCTGGAACAGAAATCAATTATGGAAAACATAGCATTAACATAGGATGGAGGAAGAGACCTTGGAAATAAGGGCATGTCCCTTCCTAGATGGCTTAATGTCCTACAGCATTCCCATAAGCTATCCAGATACAGAGGAATTGAGGCTACAGGTGCTGTCTCCATCTCTGTTGAAACTTGCAAGAGATTCCATTTTGTCAGCAGAATAACCAATGGAAATTCCATTCAGGCATCCCAGTTTGTTCACCTCCTGGCTTGGATTTACCACGGGTGAGGGGCAGAAGGGAAGTTTCCAGTTAAAGTGCCACAAAGCTCTAACATGTTTGGTAACTCCCTCCTGGTGGACAAATGTGTGTCACTTCATCTATATGCTGTGTGCTTAACCTGTCATGGCCTGGGGGTTTCATCTGAAAAATAACTGGTCTTATTTGCTTTTTTCCCATATGCTGTACCATCATGTTAGAGATCTGTGGAAATACTTAAGTGACATTCCTCACAATTTCTAAAGCAAACTCTATGCAATATTATCTTCATGGTTCACTGTAAAATTTTGAACTTAACTGCCTTTGCTGATCAGCCAAGGACCTTATAGAGATGGCCCAAAGCCCTTCTTTTCCCTTATTTGAAAGGTGATGGGGAAAACAACTTAAAATAAAGATTAAACATTATTTTTAATTGGGTCACTATATAATGCATATTTTTTCATAGACAATTTAAATAGTTTTAGTGATGTAAGTATATCTGCTGTGCTACAGAGGATGTATAATTTAACTCTAATAATAAAGATTTTTATTTGGGGTTTTCATTCTGAAGACAGCTAAGAAAAATCTTCAAGCTTCCCAAAACCACTCTTTCCAAAGAAACCACAACGTTACAGAGCCCTTTCATCATCCAGCACACAGTCCTGTACAACACAAAAATGTACACTGTACTACTTTAAATTAATTCATATTTGCAGGAGACACAGTCTGTGTCAGTATGTGCAATTATGAAATGTAACTTTTTTTTTCCTCTTGACATTTTTAGCTGCCTCACCCCTTTTATTTGAACACATACATATGGTGTGTGAGAGTGAGCAAGCTCTCTGTAAATGTTTGGAAGGAGCATCTGTCAGACAATAAAACTTACAAGAAAACATGTTTCTCATTTAAAGTGTATTCACCAGAACTATTTCAGTGTTGGAATCAGTTCATTTGTATAGCTTGGAGGCATTAATAAGAGCAGAGAACTGTAAAGGCACCAGAAAAGTCGAACTGTTACTAAGAATCCAAGGTATTTTTTAAAAGCATTTTGTCTTTTCGGCACCCCAGTCTTCTGATAAGGAACCTGAACCAGTTGACAGCCAGGAAACCTCTGCTAGTCCTTCCAAAGAGATTGCAAACAAGAAGATGGCATGATTTTTGCAAACCTGGAAAGTCTAAAGATTGCAATAATTGTTGGACCAAAGGGACCCTCTTCAGGCATAAATAGCAAGACTCCTACTGTCTTCTCTTGCAGACCAACTCAGCTGCCAGCAAAAGCAGGTGCTCTCCCACTACCAGTGCTCCAGAGGAATATTTAGTGAGTATTCACAGCTATTTTTACAAATTAATATATTATTAGAGATTTAGTTATGTTTGCATAGTTTTCTCAAAGGATAGAAACATTTAAAAATCATTTCTAAAGGCTGTTATTTTAAACAATTGCTGGAGTTCAACAGTCTGATGCAATTACCATGTTAATTTAAAAACAAAATTTGCACAAGCTGTGACAGTAACTTTCAAAAAATATTGGTTTTTAGAACTGTGTAGTTTAGACATTCTAAAGGAATTACAATCTATTTTTAATCCACATTATGACAGCTAAGTAATTTATATAAATATGAAATGTATTTGATTTTAAATGTTATGCTATAAACCAGCCTTTGTAGAACACAAATTTAAAATAAATCATTTCTTTTGGCAAAGTAACCTGCAATTTAATCTTTAGAAGAATAAATACACCACTAATGTTTTCCACAGAAACAGTTGCTACTCTAATGAAATCAAGATGTGACTCTAATCAGATTTCAAAAGAAAATCAGAAACAGATTTTTCTCAGAGGTAGTACTATGGACAAGGATAAGATATTTCTATTTTCATTAGAAACACTTGTCCCAGGTAAAGTTACAGATTTGTTCTATATAGCATGGAAATTACAAATCTGAAAGCATTATAGTAATGCTTTTAGAAGCATAAAAATTTTTATTGTTTCAGATATCTGCTTTCTTTTAGGTTATAACTGATGCTACATTGGATTTTATTAGGTAACTGTTATTAATTTTGAGTTTAGAGTGACTAATATGACTAACGGATTTTTTTTTTTTGTGTGGAAGGGAATGGAAAACCTGATGTTTGTCTACTGCTCCTGTAAAGTTATCTGGACAGTACTTGTAACTATACTAGGTTATGCCAGCAGCTTGCCTGTGGGGGATGATTCTATTTGCACAGCAGAGGAACTTGCTAAGTACAGGATAATCTTCATAGGGAAATGGAGTCAGACTGCTTTCCCTAAGCAGTATCCACTCTACAGGCCCCCAGCACAGTGGTCATCCCTGCTAGGTAAGTCAAGTATGCACAGTTTTAACAGCAGATAAATCTCTTGACCTCTGTGGTGTTTTTTTTTCTTCTTAATAGTCAAATTTAAGATAACTAATGGAAAAGGAAAAAATTGCCAAAGTTATTAAGAATGAAATTCATAAAATGAGGTATCCACAATATTTTCCAAAAATCTGCAACTGTTTTCAATTGACTTCTGTTTTCAATTGGCCACAGCTAAAACAAACAGTGATAAGCCAAATGTTTTAGTGTTCACTCAATTTTATACACATTTTTTTTTAACCTCAGAAATAAAACAGAGAAAATGAAGAAATAGGGACATTGTAAATCAGACTTTTATGTCATGCCATGTATTCACTCAAATAGGTGTTACTCATAGTCCTGACTACAGCATGTGGAAAAAAAATGAATATGCCAGCAATGGTGTACGTGATTTTGCTGAAAAGGGTGAAGCATGGGCATTAATGAAAGAAATAGAAGAAGCTGGAGAGAAAATTCAGAGCGTACATGGAATCTTCTCTGCTCCTGCAATTACCAGTGGCACAGGACAAACCTCTACTGAATTAGAAGTGCATCCAAGACATCCCTTAGTAAGTAAACATACATATTGATTTCAAAAGTTTATTTTATGTCACCAGCACCCAAAATTAAATATTTGACTTCTCATTCGTAGGAACAATATAATGCAAAGAGTTATGAAAAAACATGTCACACTGCAGGGAGCACTGTACAGTTTCTATAAAGTAGAAGAGCATAATGAAATTATTCCAAAATTTTTGAGTTAAAATCACTGTAAGCAGGACCGAAGCATTCCAAAACGAGTGATGCAATCCTGATGGATAATTTTGTTTCATTAGGTTTCATTTGTTGTACGAATTGTTCCAAGCCCTGACTGGTTTGTGGGTATTGACAGCCTAAATCTCTGTGAAGGAGACCGCTGGATGGATGAAGTGTCAGTAGATCTATATCCATATGATGCTGGAACTGATAGTGGTTTCACATTTTCCTCCCCAAACTTTGCCACTATTCCACAGGAGACAGTTCAAGAGGTAGGTGTATGTTCATAGTTTAGCACTCCATATTGATATGTTTTGAGATTTCCCTTTAAAAGATAACTATTCTATAATTGTGAAACTGATTTTAGTATTTGGGAGTGCTGATGCTCTCTACACACGGATTTATTACACAGCTGATAAAGTCACCAGTTTTGGTTATTTTCTGTGTCTTTGAAATTCATTAGGTAGATGCAGATGGTTCACAAAAACTTGTCTCTACATTTTAATTATTTTATAGAAAAACTGTCAGGTTTTAGATGACATTCAACAATCCTTAAAGCACCAGGAAAATAAAAAATACTTGCAAGAGTCCTGACATTACGAAATATGTAACTAAACAGGAAAATTCTTAGTAGTGAATACTGATGTGAGGAGGAGCTTAGTTGAAAGCACTGCTGAAACCTGAAACTTGCATCAGAGGGAAAGGACCTAAAGGAAAGCAAAGAACTGCAATGACCCCAATCTCTTTTGCTCATTTGATCCTCTATATGCCTCATATTTTGCTTTTGCCATTTAAAAATGGAGGGCAACAGAGGATTTTCATTAAAATGTTTTGAATACTGTAAGTATTCAGTTAATCCCTTCTTAAAGGTCAGTTTTGCTCGAGACAAATACTGTCCTAATGAGTAATGAGAAAAGGTACAGAGAATCTGGAAAACAATGCATTTGGCCTCCTATATCCAAATGACAGTATACCTAATATTATTATTTAATACTCAGCCAGTTTTTTCCATTAAACCTTCCATACATTACTGTGTTTTCAGTACCTCCCAGCACAGTCTGCTATCCAAAGTGGATGAAATTCATTGTTCCCTGTCTCAAAGCATTCTGCATAAAAGTTCTGGGACTACCAGCACAGTTATGAGAACTGAGGTGCACAGAAACTGGTTCTACTCAATTAACTTGCCAAAAAGTATTAGCATGATGTATAAACATGATTTTACAGTTATCTTCCTACTAATACGATGTCATTTGGTTAATATTCCCCTTTTAATTTTGCAGATCACTTGCTCCTCTCCAAGTCACCCAGCAAACTCATTTTATTATCCAAAACTCAAAATTTTGCCACCTATTGCTCAAGTAACAATGGTGAAATTAAAGAAAAGCCAGCTGGGTCTTTCTGCACCTTATATTAATCTTCCAGCCAAAAGCAATGAAATAATAGACTCTGTCTCAGGTAAGTGATTAGTTCATTGATGTTCTCAATTCTGTTATTTTCATTCACTCAGAAATATGTGGAAATCTGGCAGGTGATGTGGATGAAACAGGTGATCAGGCAGAATATTCTCCTATCTGCATAGGAATAGTTTCCAGACTCACACATGGGAAATAAAACAAGCCAGTTGACATAAAAGAGAATTCCCGAAAGAATAAAGGAGGGATTGCATATTTGAGCTGTGGTTCAAAGGATTGGGTTGCATCCACAGTAAGAGCTACTCAAGCCTTTGTATCAGTGTAGGTCAGTGAATTTTATGAGAAACAAATGACACTTGATCAGAATCAGAGTTCCCAAACTCTTTGCAACTTTAAAGTAAATATTCATCCTTAAGTTTTTCTATGATGATGAAGCCAAGAACTATTATTGTTGTCTCTTTCTGGGTCACAAGGCTTGACAGTTAGGTGCAATAAAAATTGATATAATTCAATTGTTTTGGATGTATTTGTGATAGAATCCTGACAACAAAAATCAGGTTCTCATTTTTATTTTCTTAAAAATAGTAGCTAATAACCTTGACCAGGTAGGAAGATACACAAACTACTGACTCAAGTCAGTCTTAAGGGTGATTTCCAAATCCCTGAATTAAAAAATATATGGTTAACACAATATATGCTCCAAGGGAGCAATGCACTCCCAGAAGAGTTGCCATGTTCCAAGAGCTTCTCCAGAATGTCTGAGTATTGCATGGGTCTGTGCTGGACACCTCATAGCCACTAAAATAAAGCTCATTCTCTACACAACTAATGTGTGATTTTTACTTTAATAAAGGTATTTATCAATTTACAGTGGTTTAATGTATTTCTGTTAGTAAACAAGACACATTCAAAGTGACTGTTACATATCTCATTTGCAGTTATGTCTGTCCCACAGCACTCAAAATGAACATTTGGCCCTCTTTAGGGTATAAATTTAAAACAATGCATTTAAAGTATGGTATCTCAAAATTAATTTTAAATCAAAAATCCCCACTTTATGCTAACCAGTAAATCAATCTGCTTAAAAACGTATTCCAGAATCAAAAGGACAGATTTAATTACCAGAGGTCAAGCTGTGTCCCTCATTCCTTCTAGAAACAGGAATGAGTGATGACAGCAGAAGTGGTGAGTTCACTGTAATGCCAGAAATTTATACCAGGTGTCACACACCTAGTGTGGCATTTAAAGATGGTTTTGTGAACACCTATTTTACCTGCAAATGCTGTAACAGGAAGTGTTGATGCATCTTCCTGTGACAAGCAATATTTTAATGTAACCTGCTAAGGAATACTCAGCCATGCTTTTATGAGAGATATTTTCACCAGAAGCATACACTATGCGAAGTACTTTGGAGTTTCTAATTTCTTTTCCTGAGGCAAATTATACTGAAACCCCTTTTAGTATTAGAAAGCTTACAGTGACAGAACATGTTTATTGGCAAAAGGGGGAGTAGTATACACACCAAACAACAGATGATTTAATGTAAGAAATGGGACTTTATTTCTGAAGTAAAATTGCAATAAAATTAAAATGGAATTTGATATGACCAACTATAGGAACAATAGCTAAGAAATATAAATATATCCAAACAAACCAGAGAAAAGCTTTAATACCAGCATTTTAGTAAGCCATGAAAAGGTAAATGAGTTATAAAATTGACAGTAAATGTTTTTTAATTCAGTCTTTTGGGTGCAATTATTTTAAGCATAGTTTTCTTTTAAAGGAATTCTGTATTTTCAATTCAATAAATAATATGCTGCACTACTGATATAATATCTCAGACATGCTCTAGATTGCAATAACAATAATATCATTGTCCACGAGCTTAGGAGATGAAACCAGACCTTTTTTTTAATTTATGAGACAACATATGGATTTTATTATTATCGCATGTATTTTTTGTATAAGAAAGGATGCTATTTGATCAAAATTCCTTAATGCTTTTCCAACTGTATATTTGACTCAAGTACAGCTTCATGTAAAGTTACATTTTTGTTGTGTGTGTTGCAGAAACACCCCTGGACTGTGAGGTTTCTCAATGGTCTTCCTGGGGTCTCTGCAGAGGCGTTTGCAGAGAAACAGGGACCAAGATCAGAACTCGTTTTGTGCTTCTTCAGCCTGCCAATAATGGAATGCCTTGCCCAAACCTGGATGAAGAGACACCATGTGAACCAGAAAACTGTGTCTGAAATAAAGAAAAGATAATAACTTAGCTAATTTAAAAGTAGGATAAGTTTAAATCTAAACTACATGTCAATCAGTGTTCTTTAGAATTTGGATATGCTGCACTATTTTGATGAAAAGGTGTATAAGAGTGGTTTTGAAAGTTTCTATTTAATGTCAACATTTTAGGGGGTTAAATTTCTTAGTATGACAACAGTACTCGATCACTTACAGACCAAAAACCCCCAAATAAATCCTTCCTACAATACACTGTAAGTTCTTGGAGTACCCTCTAGTGGCAGAAAAGAAGACATTTGGATACGTACTTCACATGAATAAAAATCAATCACATCTAAACTAATAGCCTTCTTAAATACTGTAATTTGATTATCTACAGATATTTATACCTAGAAATTAATTTTTTCATCTAAATTATGTTTTTATAATTTATTGGCATTTTTCTTGTCTTTCTAAATATGCTTAACATGCATTTCTTCAGAAACTACTTACATAAGTCAGAGTGACCAGATGTTTGCAGCGTGGTTAAGACAATAGTGGAAGTGAGTAAACTTGTCTTGAGACTTACGAATATATGAAAATGTCTTTTTCTTTTTTTTTTTTTCTCAAAAGCGAGAAGAATAACTGCCATGAGGACACTCAGCCAACAAAATTACTAGAAAAATATAGAAGCGTGGATACTACTAGAAAACTTCTGAACTGAATTAAATGTGTTAGTTGAGATTCAAAAACTGATTGTTGGTGTGTGTCACTCATGAGACAACTATCTCAAAAATGAATGCTGTTGACCATAACATAAATTATATCATTACCTTTATATATGCAGCAAATATTGTCCATGTTTCTGTAAATGTGTTGCTGCTATTTATTTGCTATTTTTCCACTTTTTACAGAGAAAATTTAGCAATTTTTAATAGTATCTAAAATTCAGGTATACACAATGATAACAAAACACAACATGTCAGAAAATGTTCCTGACTGCAAGCTTTAATGCTCAAATAACTGTTATAAAATGAATGTAACATATGGCTTATGAAGAGATGTGGTTACTAACCAGGAAAAGGATTTTGGAATAATACTTACTCAACAGAATAAGTCTGCAGTCAGCTCACAAAACTTTTACAGCACACTGCAATTTTACAAATATACAGTGCAGATATTGAACAGGGGAGTTGATTTGAGAAGGTTCTTTTAGGAATATGCCAAATACAAGAAAATTTCTCATGTCCTGAAAAGAGTACACTATATTCTCCATAGGGCTGAAACATTCAAAAGGTTCTCTGTATTTCTTTCCAGGAGATAAATCTTGCAAAGACCCAAATAAATTTGAAACTTTATCAGACTAGAATTAGTTACTCCTCCAAATGTTGTTAAACACAGTTTTTAGAGCTCATTGTAGGAATCTCTACATCTCTTATTCTTCAGACTCCCACTCTTGCCCATTGTTCAAAATTGTTTCACTTACTCTTTTTATCATGTCTGGTTGTTTTTTTTCCAGGTTCCCCTGTTTCCACTCTATAATGGGAATAGTGTAACTACACTATTTTGTGTTTAGTTAACTATCAATATTTTTCTTTCTTCTTTTTACAGTAATGTTAATCATTCTGTGTTTTCCGTTACACTTATCTACTATATTTTTACAGATTTACCATCATCTCAGAAAACCTATGCATACATCGAAGTATATATTTAAATACTCTCTGAGGACAGGAACTAATTTCAAATTTATTGATTGTTGAGTGACAAATTAGGCTCAATAAAGGCTTTGGGCAGATCTCAGATTCAAGTCTAAATCATGCCTTAGGAAAAATAAACCCACAAACCACAAGGTATCCTTGGAGGTACATTGCTGGAAGTTCTCTTAACATTAGAGTTTTGCTTCTTCACGTGCCCAGAGCAAATAAAGGGCCAGGTCCAGTAAAAGAACACCTGCATTTGCAATTGTATATATGACCTGAATCTGGGATTTCAGTCCTACAAGAAAAGAACTGAGAGTGGAGTAGTCCCAGTGTTTACTCGAACTCCTGGAGCCAAAAGTTTCCCAAAGGACACTGAAGGAGAAAGGATGAGAGGGAGTGGTGGAGTAGAAAGGGAAGTGAATATACAACAAGCCAACACACTTCAGGAAACTCCAGTCAGTGATATATAACTTTACTACTTTAGACTGTTTACATACAGGAATATTCACTGAAGCTTCCTTCAAAAGCAGAACTTTTCTATCCAGCCAGTTACCTGGATATGGGATTTTTTTGTAAGCTGTGACTTCAAGAGACCTTGATACACATGACATTCTTTAAGGATGCCCTTGTAGTTATGTAATGTTTGGCCATAGATCATTCCAGGTATTCCCTTTGCAAATCCCAGGCATGGATTCATTACTTGGCAAGACTACGGATACAGCGAGTGAAGCACATTCTAATGATGGAGCATATTTCTCAAAATATATCATTATTAAACTGATTAGTGAGGTACATTATCCCTGTGTGGATACTGCTAGGACCTTGTAGCTTTTACTTTCTGCAGTCTTGGAATTCTCTTAAAAGTCTGGGGACCGGGAAGAAGCACAGAGAAGCTCTTCCTTCCTTTTCCTTTACAACTAGTGTTACAGATGGCTGGCAGCCAAGATGCTGTGGTCCTAAACACATGAGATTTAGGGAAGGAAATGGGCAAATTAACTCCTGGGTTAAGCTAGTCTCAGAAAGCACTTTGGGAGGAAGCTTGAAACGGATTTGTAAAGACAATTTTTTTTCAAGAATGTTTTATAGGAAGGATCAGCTTCGATGCCTTGGTAGATATTATTGCAGAATGGAAGACATGGTTAAAGGTAAGTGTAGTAGTCAAAAATTCACAACAGAATTTAACTGTGGTCCTACAGAAATAATCAAAACCAAACTAAATTCCTATAATGGAATAAGGTACCTCATTACTGAGAACAATTTTTTCCAATACCTTAAGGAATTTAAAGATGGTGAACTGTGAACACATGAAAAATTGGAGGATAACTTCTTGAGCCAGGGAATAGACAGCCCTACCAGAGGGGATGTGATACCAGACCAGATGGCCACCAGCTTAAGTGAGTTAATTGGGACATCAACATTGGAGGCAGCCCTGGCTGCAAGGAACATGCAGCATTGGAGATTGCAGACCTGAGGGATATGGGTCAGATAAGGAGTAAAGTTTGGCCCCTGAACTTTAGGAGAGCGAAATTCCAGCTCATCAAGGAGATAGTCAATAGGATCCCCTGGGAAACTGCCCTTAGGGACAAGCAAGCAGAATAGAGTTGGTAGATTCCTTAAGGAAGTCTTCCATAGAGTGCAAAAGCTGGCAATCCCCAGGAGCAGGAAATCAGGCAAGGAAGGTAAGAGATCGGCATGGCTGTGTAGGGACCTGCTGATCAAACAAAAGGGAAAGAAGCAAATGCACAGACAGTGGAAACAAGGACAGGTAACCTGGGAAGAGTATAGAGATTAAGTTCACTTGTATAGGGATGGGACGTGGAAGGCCAAGATGAAGCTGGAACTGAACCTGACAAAGGACATAAAGAATAACAGGAAGAGCTTCTACATGTATGTTAGCTAGAAAAAAAAGATCAAAGAAGGTTTACTCACCCAGTACACAATGCTGGAAAACAGGTTACAAGAAGGTTGAGGTACTCGATAACTTTTTTCCTCAGTATTCAATGGCAATGTCTCTTCCAGGAAAGGCTGAGAGGATTGGGATTGTTCAGCGTGGAGAAGACTTCAGGGTGACCCAATTGAGCATTTCAGTACCTGAAGAAAGCCTATAAAAAAGATGGAAAGGGACTTTTTACAAGGATATGTAGTGATGGGAAAAGGGGAAGTTGGTTCAACCAGAAAGAAAGCAGGTTTAGATTACACATTTGAAAAAAAATTCTTTACTGTGAACATGGTGTGGCACTTGAACAGGTTTCCCAGAGAAGTTGTGGACGCCCCATACCTGGAAGTGTTCAAAGCCAGGCTGAATGGGGCTCTGAACAACCTGGCCTATATAAAAATAAAACATAAAATAAAATCCAAATTCCACCTTTTCAAGCAAAATAAACGTTGGTAAAATTCCATCAAGGAATGTTTTCTATCTGTGGCACTGTGTCCTACATATATGGCCCATGTGTGTGCAGCTGAGGTAGCGTCATCCCATACCCTGAAGTCAAGATGACAGAACTCAGAAGTCAAGTGAGAGGTTCATCAAAGACACATTCAAGGGCATCACTGAACCACTGCCCTGTGAATGCCAGGTGCTGCTGAGGACAATGGCAGGGCTGGGCAGTCTGTGATCAAGCTACAGACCCTTCAACAGGAGCTTCTGAAACAAAAAATGAGCTCCCTACTGGAAATGATCCCACAGGTGAGTCCTCCCTGCTGGAAAACAACCACATATCCTCTGACATTGAGGCCAACCTTTCAGACACAGTGATCTCAGTTTATAAGACAAAGAACATTTGAATGATAGATGAGTTTGTCATCAGGCAAATACATTGGTCTATATTAGTACCAAGGATAAAAATAAAAACCTCAATCTTTGTTCAAGTTACTCTATAGCTTTCTCTAGAGAATTTATTAGGCAGTGACTCAGAAATAGACATTCGTATATTAAAAAATCTTATTCTGAAAGTGTTAAGGTTGTTATTTTTTCCTGAAGTATCATATTCATTAACGTTTCAGATTCTTTTACTGTTCTTTTGACTTCTTTAAATTTCTTCCAGACCTTTTATGTAGTCCCTGTGGTTTTATGCAGATGCATACATTTGTCCAGTGATTTAGGATGGAAATTACAAGACTTCTTAATAAAAGAGGAGTGAAGCTCTGGAATAATCACCCAGAATAAATAGGAAATACAACTTAATAACTTCATTTAAGTTGAAAATTGAGCAGTTTTTGGAAAGAGATAGCCAGTGTGGTTACTTATAATAATCTAGGGAACTGCTCTCAAGTACCTGAGAGGCCCTTTCAGTTTCATGCTCTTATAAGTGTATAAAATAAAATTTTAATCTAGATACTGGGAAAGAAAAAAGGTTTTACAAGGTGTCTTTTTCATGTTATCTCATTCTCCAGAACATACTGCAGTTATTTATAAACGTGTAACCACCAGCTGCCTTTTCTCACAGTTTTTTCCTCTCTCAAAAATACGCTGATAAGGAACAACCACAGGACTACAGGCATTTGTATGTAACTATTTCTCTTCAATAGCAGTACAGCAGGGATATATAAAAAAAACCATGAAAAGCCAATTAATAGGATTATTTATGAACTTCTGGATTTCTTTTTCACTTGCTTTGTATTTTCACATTGGAGAAAGAGAAGAGAAATGTATAATTGAAGATCTTCCCAGCGACACGTTGGTATTTGGTAGGTACCTGTCAGTGCTCTATGATTATCTAACCTATGCAATAATAAAGATAACTTTTAATGTAACAGGAAATTCTGTGGCTGATGAATATACTAAAACATTAGTGCTAAGGAAAGGGCACACTGAAAATTACTCTCCACAGCAGGGAGTAGGAATAAAGTCCTCACGCATTGTGTGAGTCCATCACTCAAAAAAAGTGCAGTTTTTCAGAGTGCTTTACTGACTAAACAATGTCTTTTAATTCTACAGCTGCAGAACTGCTGCTTCCATGTGTGTTTCTATACATTCTGACTGATGTACTCATTCACAACAGAATTTTTGTAACATGGTTTTCCCCATATGAATGAGAGAGTTACTTTTTTGATTAATGCCGGTCTGGAAAGAAACAATTCAAGATGTACTAAAGTTTCATTTCACCTGGGATACCACAAGCACATTAAATTAATCTACAAGACTGTACATACAAGATTTCAAGGGAATAGCAAAAAATAATACAGAATAATCTTTTTCTTTAATAAATAATGTGATAAATATGAAAAAGAATCCAAAAAATGTAATTTGACTACAGCACATTATGCTTTTGGGGGTCTCAGCATGCCTTCTGGAGGTTAATCTTGCCAGAGTTTTAGGAGTAATCAGAAAGTACTTCTTGTTAATTAACCATTATTTGTAGCACTCTAGAACATTTTCTGGTGTAGTAAAAATTTATTGCATTTCACGGTAATGTAAAGTGCCCCTGAGCACTTTTAATCATAAACACATGAAATACATATATTGTTTTAATGTTAATCATTTATCTTTACATTTTTCCTGAAAAAGCAATGAAGATGTTTAATGTTAAGCTGTGTTTTATTTAATGGATTTATCCATGTTCTTATTCAGGGAATTACAAAGTACAACGCTGGGATATACATAAACACCATTTTCTTGAATCTGCTCCTGGTTTGGGAATGTATGTGACTGTCACAACTCCTTCTGGTGAGGTAAATATGCTCTATGAATGTTTCTGTAGGATTTATATGTTGACTTCTGGCACTGGCAGGCAGCACTATCTACAAATAAAAGACACTTCTGGAGAAAAAGTAAATCTATAGTTTACCAGCTGGTTTGGTATTTTGATGCTGAAAGGTTTAAGAACCTCGTGATTTCTATCAAAGTAAAGAGAAATTACAATATTTGATAATTATGTGCATGGTCAATTTTTGCATTACTATCAGATTTGGGAAAGTGTGTCATTAAGAACAGTAAGCGACAACTGAGGAAACAAGTTAAAGAAAAAAAAAGAAAATTCACTGAAGTAAAACGACACAGAATGTACTTGAGCAGCAGAAAGGAAGGCTGAAGATAAACAAAACTGTGAAAGTTGAAATATTCCTGAGGCTGGATGGGGCCCTCATGTAGAGCAGCTGCCTGTGTTGCCATGAGGTCCTCAGCCTTTCCAGCAATGGAGCCTAGATGAGGTCTTAGTTTTCAAACTTTGCACGCTTTAGAGAGCATTGGCTTTGTACATTGCAGAATTCTATAACATTTCAGTGTTCACTGTGAACTAAAATAGTTTAATTTTCTCTAAATCTACCCTGAAATTCAGATAAATTTAATGATGTCAGGAGGCTAATTGATCCCTTTTTGCATCCAATTCACAGTACTGTCTTGATGGTTTTATTGGTATTTACAATTTACAAACCCAACATATATAAAATTTAAATTGCAGGTACTATTGTCAAAACTGTATGGGCCACAAGGAACATTTTCTTTTACATCCTATCTCTCTGGGGAGCACGTAATCTGTTTCCAGTCAAACTCGACAAGACTTCTGGCAATTGCAGGAAGTAAACTGGTAGGTATATTTCTTAGGTATTCCTTGTTGTAACTATAAATTGTTTCCAAACCACAGAGACTACAAACTAGTTTAGAAGTTGGACTAATTTCTAGCAGATAATCTGACATTTCCTAGTGATTAAAGAAGACAAAACCAGAATTATGTAGATCAAGAGATAAAAAGACACTTCTATTTAAGAAGTTGGCTTTCAAGAGGCAAGACTAATAATGATAGAGAGACAATGTTTTTAAAGTGCTTTGAATGTGATTCTGATCAATAAGAATGACTAATTTGGTTCGAAAAGACTGATATGAATGATTGACTAACACAAACATTTGTCATAAAGGTGTTCCATGTCTTCACTAACTTCGATTGAATTCCTAATGAAAATTTACATTTCAATTTTTGAGAGATATTCAAAGAAGAATATATTAGCATTCTTGTTATTGTCTACTGCCAGCAAAGCTGGTCTTAATGCAGATTTTGGGAAGAAAAGAAAAAACCCATCACAGGTGGTATCATGGCTCTAATCTATTCCAGCAAAAAAATTTATAAATTCTGTTTTGAAAATATATGCCTTAGCCCAAAAGATAGTTGAACAAATGAGAATTACTCTCTAGAGTGTTTGTTTGTTTGTTAACTAAGTTGACTGCAAAAGAGTTAGATAAATGTAAACATCTTGTAAATGTCTTGAGGTAGGTCAAATTTCATACAAGCTTTGGACTTTGGGAACATGTAGATGACACAGAAATGAGAAGAACTAACAGTACAGAAGTGGGATTATTATACTGGAATAACTAGGTGTTCTTACAGACTGATTGATAGAAATGATTGGAAATTTAACCGTACACATTCCAAAAGCACTCAGGTTCTAATAGTAAAAACAATTGGTGGAGCTTATCAACTAGAGAGGGTAAGGGTGATAAAGCTTTGGTTGATCATAGTTAACTACACACCATGAATGTAATTCTGAGGATATGCAGGTGATTTTTGTCTGGTATAGATGGAGCTGTATTAATATGATTTTACATGATACATGCATTGTAGAGTTCTGGTCATCCTATTTAAAAGCAGTGAACAGATGTGGGGAAGGAGAACATTAATATCACAAATATTAAATGAGGTGGTTTGTTTAGCTTGAGAACACAGAAATAAAAAAGGAAAATACTGCTCTTATAATCATACTTGCAGGAACAAAGGTCACAAAAGAAAAACATTCTTTAGCTAAGTTAAATTTTTCAGTGGTCTTCTGTAAGAACCAGATGGTTATTTGAACTCCTTCAAACCAAAATAAATAAATTAATGGATGATAAGGTTGTGAGACAGACAGTTATACAGTTAGCTAACTCCAAGACAGCTGAAAGATCTGCTCTTCATTTGTGGTTGATGTCTGAGTAGATCCAACTTCTACCACGGTAATATCAAGTTCTAGGTTTTGGCAGATTATTTGCTTGGCTAAAACCTTTTTATTTTCTCTTAGGCCCAAATCGGCTTCTAGGAGAAATTCCTCCTGTTAGTTTTAGCAACATTTTTAATTCATGACAAAATAAGTTGCATAATATTGCAAGTTCTGCTCTTCGTTCTTCTTTCTATGGTTCTGCTGCTGAGCTGGGTTCAGGTATTTTTGCAATAGATAATACAACAGCTTACAAGATATTGGGAGACAGTTCATATTGGATAAATAGTGTGGAGAAAGAAAAAGATACCCTATGGATACCCATGTTAAACTGCAAATAGTGATTCAGCTCGTCTCCTTCCAGTCTTACAGTCCCAACAGTTACATGAGGAAACCCAGAAAGGCATCTACAAAAAACTTCCTGCAGTACTGTTGAAGAATGTGATTCCTGCAATATTAGAATGGAATGTGAAATATAATGACCATGCCTTATGGTCTTTATTTTTTTTAACTATTTTGGACAAAGAAAACATTTTCATGGTGGTTGAATCAATACTAGCATAAAATAATGCCCTAAGATTAGTGAAGTTTGTAAATATGCATAACTAATTTAAAAATAAAATTAAGAAGCACTTTAAATTTACCACCTGATTCTAATTTTAGGAAGGATTTTTATAAGAAATTAAAACTATTTTCCTGTAATGAGCTTAAAGGGAAATTATCCATTGGTTCATTTTTAATTTGAATTTAGGAATTTTGAAAAAGCAAAAGACACAGAAATGAGTATATATTTTCTGTTTTCAGCGTATCCATTTGGACATTAGAGTTGGAGAGCATTTTTTTGATGAATCTGCTGTTCAAGCCAAAGAAACAGTGGATGAAGTTCATATCAGACTAGAACATCTAATTGAGCAAATTTACCACGTATCCAAAGAACAAGACCATGAAAGAGTACGTATGTTCCCTAATGGAAACATTAAAAAATACTGTACATAGGCTTATTGATTTATTAAGTATTATGAGGTCTATTATTCAATTGCAGTGTTATTTTAAACTAACACATAAAAATCTACTGGTATTTAACCTAAATTGTCTCTATTACCTCGCAAAATATTTTTAAGCAGTAACCTAAAAACTAATTAATGACTGAGAACTCACGCTTATAGCAACAGGTGTTATTTTACAGCAGCAGGTATTTTAAAGCAGAGTTTTCCAAATAAGAGTGTTCTTGGCCAGAGTCAGCCCCCACAGCTGAGCAGGTGGCAGGTACCGCTGTGGGTGATGTCTCCAGCTGTTGTTTCCATGTTAGTCTGTGTGCATAAACTTTATTGGAGTGGGGAAGGAAATGACTGAGTGTATATTTATAAATCTCCATGCAGTTAGAAATAAAGCCCTCCTTCAAACAAGCGTATACCCCTTCTCTTCACTTTTCCATTCGTACACAGGCAGTCAGACTGTGTTTGAAATATATTGACTAGTTACCTAAAAATAGAAATTTGGCTGCAAAAGGGTTCTTGACAGCAATATGTGACTGTAAACCTAAAAAGGTTAAAGCCTGTACTAATGGAACATATTTAGCACAATATATTTTCTGTGAATAAAGGAAGTTCTGTTTGCCTTTCTGCTTGAGGATACAGTGTGTCTGCTTCTCAGTTTTGATTTGTAAAGATACCCACCATATGGATAAATACAAACTTCCATTTTTATCAACATGAAAAAAAGTGTTTGTTCACCACTATGCAGAAGAGGGATGCCTCTCTAGTTACCTGGATAGCAGCATGAAACATGTAGATGCCAAAAGGTAATAACTATGCTTTTCCTTTACTCTTCAGGAACGTGAAGAAAAATTTCGGAAGACAAGTGAAGAAACCAACAGCAATATTTTGTGGTGGGCTATACTGCAAACACTGATCCTCGTCTCCGTTGGAATCTGGCAAATCAAATCTCTCAGAGATTTCTTTATAGCTAAGAAGCTTGTTTAAATTCTATAAAGTAAATGCACAGATACAGAAATTGCATGTCATGTAACACTGAACATCATAAGAAACCTTGCAATTAAAAGAAAATTGGTTGCATAGAACTCTCGAGCTTCTCTCATCTTCTACTCTGATTCTAAGTCTGGTTTCTCCATCTGTGTCACAACCTTTTATACCCCCTTACATTTTATTCCTTTAATCCAATTTTTTATCAGGTTTTTTCCCCCTATACAGATGTAAAGCTAAATCTAGAAGAAAGATTCAGTGACTAAGGCAGCATTTAAGTTCAGCTCAGGATCGTTATATCTAAAATAGAAATCTAAAAAAAAAAAAGTTTCCGAGGATTTAAAATTTCTCTACTTGCTTAGTGATGTTACTTGGTACTACCAGAAAGAGTTCAGCACTTCAGACTGACCATGATTCAGACAGTAGGCAGAGAAATAACCCATATCCCCTGTGGTGATTAATTTGGTGAAAGTGTCTTGAACTCAATCTATATATGGGTAACACCTAAATGTAATTGTCACTGCCTTCTTTCAAAATATTCAAAGTCTGAACTGATCAGTGGCAGCAGCAATTATCATGCAAGAGAGAGACCCAGACAAGCAATTTGGAGTTGTACTTACTTTTCACTTCCAGATTAGGCTATAGAATTGTGATCAGACATCTCCCACAGTTGCTCATGTAAATTATAGTCTTTATGAAGTATGCCAAAATAAACCAAATTACAGGGTTTTTTTGTAAACAATGCCTACACATTTTGTTCTAATTCATTCCTGCAGAAAATTCTTCAGTCTGTTTCTGTGTTGAGAATTTTTATTACTTTAATTATTCAGCAACTGTAATATGACAGCCTAAGGAACTTACCAGTTTTTGACTTAATTTTCCATTTCACTTATTGCAGCTTGGTTGCATATATCTTTATGACTTAATTTACCTAGTTTATGTACAACTAGCAGTGTAACTACAGTATCATACAATGAGAAGTCAAAAGCTCTGGTTAAAAATCCAGATAATTAGCTTGACAAAGCTGCAGTAGTGTAAGGAGGAGTTGGAGGTGGTTACATATAAAAACATGAAACTGGAAGAAGTTTCTAGAGCACTGTGATAGCAGAATATTATGGTTTGGTTTCCTACTTCTCTTTCCAGACCCTTTGCTTGTCTAAAAGGTAGTGAAAGCTAGAATATCTGTAAACAATTACTGTTTTAAAGGCACTGCTTTCTTTCTTTTTTCTATCTTCTCACTTGTTGTTTTCATTAGCGAGGAAATGACACTGCCCTATGAGTTCACTTACATTTCCAGTACAGTAATGAAAATACAGCTGTGAGAATCCATAAAATTGATACAAAGTAGAGACAAAAAGCAACGTTCTACAGACCAAATCAATCAATAAAATCTTGTAAAGCTACTCATTGAGGTGTGTCGTACATTAAAAAATTCTGAGACTTTAGAGTTGTCACTTGGAATAACCAGTAAATAAGTTTTATTAACTTTACTTTCATAGATCAGTCATTCACAACCTGTCTTTTAAAAGTACCTTTGGTGGTGGGAAAAAAGGAAATATGTGTTACAACCATATAAAGTCCAAGAAAAAAGTTTAATAAAGTGTTGCTACAAGCTTGTATTTCAGACTTTAGCTGATATTTAGTGTAAGGCTTCTAACCACATCCCAATGCCAAACTTGACTCATCTCACAATACACTTGGGCTTTTAAACCAATTCAGCCACTACATCAGAATTTATAAAGAGGCTGATTGTATTTCTCTCTATTAATTAGTCTATACTCAAACTAGCACTGAGACTCAGAGCCTTGGATACAGCTTGAGAGTGCTTAATTCTTTATCTATAATAATAATAATAGTAATAGTCATTAAATATCTTTGCTTTGATGAAATGTTTTCAGTCTCCTTCAAGATTTTTAATTAACTCTATAAAGCAGAAGCTGAATTGCAACTCTTTTGGGAAGCACTTTGGGGGCAGTAGCCTTCGTGAAGTTAAAAGACAGAGGTTCCTCCTCTGCAGTTTGCGGCTCTGCCATACCCAGAGCTACAGCCTGCACTGCAACTAGGTCTGTAAGGGAATTTTTTCCTAAAAATTTCATCAAAGGAAACTAGCAAACTATGGGTTTGGGGTTTGGTTTTTTTTTGGTCTAAGAAATGAAAATCAAAACTCCTTGTTTTGCTCTTTTTCCTCATTGAAAGATGCCATAGCAAAGCTGTGACAGCAAATTAACAACCTTCCTGGATTCCTGCATTTAACGGAGTGGAATCCACAACCTTTTTCCACACATCTGCTGGCCCAGGAGGAATGAGGAGGATGGGGCTCCTGCTGCAGCCCTTGCCTGGAGCACTGGGATCCCGGGTCACTTCCCCACGTTTGGGAAAGGGAGGGAGAATCTCTCAGAGGACCCTCTGCATGGGCACTGCTCCACTTTGGTAGTGAGAGGTGAGAAAAACAACTTCTTTTAAGGCTATGAGGGTCAAGCTCATTTTCAAAAACTGCGCACCACGTAACATTGAACAGCCGAAGAAACCCCGCACCTGTGAGAAAATTGTTTGTCTACAACTCTCTAGCTTCTCTCATCTTCTACTCAGATCCTAACTCTGGTTTCTCTATGTCACAACCTCTGTATTCCCCTTATATTTTTACCCCTTGAATCCCATCTTTTATCATCCCCCCCCGATGTAAAGCTAAATCTAGAAGAAGTACTCAGTGACTTAGGCAGCATTTGAAGTTGAAGTCAGGATTGGGATGATTGAATACCCACAGGGGGTTGAGAGCAGGGGAAGGTGAGATGCTAAAAGAGTTACTAGGAGGAAAGCAGGAGCTGGGTGGTGGGGAAGGAAGGAAGGAAGATAAAAGATGGAAAGGCTAATGGGGAGAATTTATAATATGTCATAAAACTAATCTGGAGTCCTTGATTTTCCATATTTATGAATTTTTTTGTTCCCAGGCTCATGTTTATAAGGGAACTTTTTAGATTTGCCTTGAGCATCCAGGCTGAGAGATCAGAGATGGAGGGACTGATTTGTGAGGTGTTCACCTGCTGCCAGCTGGGTCAGTCCTGTGAGTTCATGCCGGCAGTAGTAGCTGCTCTGTTTCTCCTAGTTAATCTAAAACAGAAATCTGAAAAAAAAAAAAAAGGAGTTTCCTAAGATTTTAAATTTCTCTATATTAAAAATTCTGAGACTTTAGGGTAAGATTACTGCTTTTAGTAATCTTTGGGGAAAGGAGGGGGAATCTCGCAGAGGATCCTCTGCGTGGGCACCGCTCCAGTTTGGTAGCGAGAGGCCAGAAAATACAACTTTTTTGGGGAGGGGTTTGTGAGGGTCGAACTCTGCCGCCCCTCAGGCCCCGCGGCGGGTCGGGCGGTTCCCCCTCACCCGGGGCCGCCTCAGGCGGGCGGGCAATGGCCGGAGCGGCCGCCGCGCGGGGCTCGCCCTGAAGAGGTACGTCTCTGCCCGGCCCCGGCTCGCTGCGGCCCTGCTGCCCCTCCGGCCCATGGCCCTCCCGGTGTTCTGCAACTCCTGCTCCTGTGAGCCCCGCAAGCCCACGCCGCGGTTCTGCCTCACCAGCTGCGGCCACGTTTTCTGTGAGATTTGCCTCCAGAAAGGTAATGGCTGCTGGAGCGGCCAGTGCTGGCGTGCACACCCTCTCACCTTATCCTTCGTATTTCTGACTCGTTGGGGAAAAAAAAAAGAAGGGCCTGAGCATTCCTACGTGTCTGTAGAATGTTGTTGATAAACCTTTTCTACCCTTGCTATTGATTTTCTTTAAATACTGAAGCCCGTCAGTGTTCACCTCCAGGTGAGTGTGGCTTTGAGAGCAGGCCTTGGGCACGGCAAGCTGGAGGCCTTAATAAAATTATCCTGGATGCTTATGATTCATAAGGTTGTTAAACAAACAAACAAAGGCATTCTCTTCTGGCTAATTTGGAAAAGGACTTGCTTTTTCATCCTGAGAATGGGTAATTTACACAGGGTAGGGTTTGTTTAGGGTAGGCTTTGCAAGTAGTCTTAAGATGTTTTAAAGGTCAGTATTGTTCCTGGAAATTTTTCAGCAGCGTCAGGGAGGGTTGGAGGTGATGTTTTGAAGCTCTCTTGTCATGTACAATTCCAGAGTCATATTCTGTGATATTCGTTATCAACCTACTCTGGCTGCAAGTTTTATTATTAATTTCAGTCAAACAATATGTTGTCAAGGACCTCTGGATGTCACCTTGTCCAACACCTTGTTCTAAACAAAGCTTATTTTAAAGTGAGATCAGTCTTAAATTGGAGTATTTCAACAGAACTTGATATGCTCAGATGAAGATATGTGGAAAAGACAGAGGAATAATGAAGTTGTTTTTCAAAAGAAAAGAGCAGCAGACAAATATCAATGTTTTCCCCTTTGAGATCATGCTAAATGTCCTGTGATTTTTTTTTAAGGGCACACAGAAGAAATTATGAATCTGTATTTCAGAATTAAAAACTTTTGACTACATGCATTCACAGGATTGCTTTTAAGGAGGAGGATCATAAAATGCAAACTGGATTTAGAGGCTGAATGTCTTTCCTTTCTGCTCTTAATATTGTTTGGCAGAAAAATGCCTGAGAGATTATATATCTTTTTGCTGGGAATTCAATAATAATCATAATACCAGGTTTAAAATGTATTTACTTTTAAACGATGTTTATAAACATTGATCCACAGAATCCTCAGAAAGGAAGTAGCTAGTAAAATTACCAATGATAAACATTGTAATAATGTGCATTTGCTATAAATATTTTCTAGTGTGTTTGCAGATAATCAAAAAGACAGTTTAAAAATGATAAAGTTTTTAAAATTACTTTCTCACTGGAAAAATTTACAAGGTAAAATTATTAATTCTTTGATGTTAAGGTCTTATATATTTTATTGAGAGAACCATACTGGGCCCCAGTCTAAAAAGCCATATATCTGGTTGACTGTAAGTCATTAGTGCACTTAAGCATACATTTAATTAAACCAGGCAAGTAGTCCTATTTAAATCAATGGAACTAAAAGTCACCTGCCTTCTGTGACACTAATGATATTCATAAAATCATTTACATGAATGCTTATTTGTGGGAGTAAGACCCATTGACATTCACACACATATTCCCTGTGCAACTCTGTGTAATGGTTATTAAAGAATCAAATTCTTTATTCATGTTTATTCACATTTCTCGTATAACCTGCAGATTTCTTCCACAAGGTCCACACAAAGGTTTAGGCATAGAGTTCTATTTACAAGGTATTCAGTATCTACTCACTTTGATGTATATTTTAAATGTGTCTTTACCTTACAGGCAAAAAAGATGAATGTTTGATCTGTAAAACTGCTTGTCAGATGTTAGTTCTTTCAAAACAGGTAAATGAAGCTTTAGTATTGTTGCATTACATTAATCTGTGGTTTGCTTAAATTATTTGCATTACAAAATGCTTCCCTTTTTTTTGCAAACGGTGACATGAATATTTACTGATAAAACGTTGTTAGTCTTAGATACTTGTGCACTAGACAGCTTTTAGTTGTATGTATTTCTTCAAATTAAAGCCTGAGGAGACTTTTTAGGTTTTCAGGTTCTGCTGGACTGTAAATCATTCTAAACTTTTCAAGAAATGTGACTGGCTACTACTGTGTAACATCAGTGACTGCTTTCAAAATGTGGGAAAATGCTTATTGGTTTTGGCATTTGTACATCAGAGAAAATGAACTGTATTGAATTATTTTGTGTAATGGACTGAATAGAAAATCTGCACGATGGCACAGCAATGTTTTCAAGCAGGGTTTTTTCCCCGTTTTCTCTTAAGCTTAATGATTTTCCTCATGGACACGTGATTAAGAGAGGATCTGAAATGTTGTTGGGAATCCTTGTTATTCACTAGAGAAATAAGAGCTTTTAATTCCCTTTCTTGATAAATCATTAGTAATGTTTAAGTTTTCCCTTTCTCCCAGGAACCATCTTCTCCTTAGCTGATTTCATAAATAGGTTGTGAAAACATTTATATTTTCCTGGACTGATGCCTACTTAAGAGACAAGAGCCTGTCTTACCAGGATAGAGGAAAAACACTAAAAATACTCACTAAAATTCAATACAGCTAATACATAAAGTCCTCCTAGCCTATAAGGCAGTCATGTATAGGAAATAGAGGACAGTTGGGGACTAACCCTGAAGAGATGACCTTGAAGAATGGCATGATTTCTTTAGATATGTTTAAAACTGAGCTGATGTATCTCTAAATACAGAAATTTCTACTCCTACATGCTGTATATAAAAAAGTAAAAAACTGTTGCACTGTATTTCATATTTGTAAACACAGAGTCTTGCAGAACTGAATTGGAGTGAAGAAGACAGTGATACCAAAAATAAAAAATTACAACAAAAAGACAAAATGCAATCATAATACAAAGGAACAATGCACACAGTAATCAAATATTAAAAAAAATATGAAAAGCCCCTCTTAAAAATTCTAGAAGACATATTTTAATATGCTTTCATTTTCAACCTACTGCAAGTTTTGTTATTAATTTCAGTCAATAATTTAAGTTGTTGGGTACCTCTGGAGGTCATCTTGTCCAACACGTTGCTCAAAACAAAGCTAATTTTAGAGTTAGATCAGTCTTAAATTGCAGTATTTCAACAGAACTTAATAATTTACTTCAAAAATACCAAAGGAATTAAAAAAAATGCAATGATTGGGATACTAACAAAAATATTAGATGTTTCATTAGAAGCTGCCACTGCTCTGGAGGGCTGAAAGGAAGCAAATTACCATATTCTTTAAAAAAGACATTAATGATGATTGCTTATCCTTGATTAAGAACAGATAAAATGATTGGAATGATAATTAAAGATGCATATAAAAAAGTCCTGGCTCTATAATTCAGGAACCTGAGTGGAAATATACCTGGTAAGCTTTATGAGCTTGATGCTGTGGGAGAATTCCCAATGAGGAAGAGGTCCTATAAATGTGTTAGAACTCCTAATTAAATTGTATGTTGGGGCAATCACCATCTACACATTAAATATTCTCATCTTTACAGTAATGCATTCTTGTCACCTTTACATCTTCCTTGTATGTCCCGCGATCCCCACTTGCTTTTCCCCAGAGGATGGTTAAGTGTTATGGTAAATCAGAATCTCGCTGTTCATTATTGTAGAATATCATATTAACATCTGCTACTCCTCCATGCAACAGATAAAATTTAAACAGTGTTATAGGAACCTTTGTTTTTAAAGAGTTTTTACATCAGCATGAAGCTGGTTGGGTTTTATTTTTTTAAAATCTGATAGGTACTTAAACCAAGGTCATTGCTTTGACAGAATCCTAAATAGATTCCAAGAGCTTGGCTCTTATGAATATGTTTTATTTAAAGATGCTAAATGTACTTTTATGAATATATTAATTTTCTAGATGAAATATTATCGCCCTGTTTGTATTTTCTTTACTTAAATACCACGGATAGATTAGACTGTGCTGTCTCTCTGTCTGCTTTTCTCTTTCTCCATCTGTTAGTTCACCCCATGGAAATTTTTGAACACTTTGGCTTATGTCAACCAAACTCAAAAGAGCAGAGGAAGTCTCAAATACAATTAATTACCTCCCGTGAGTTCTGTAAAAATGAGTAGCTGGGGAAAGCAAGGCAAAGCAGCTTTCCTTGCTCTCCCCTGGTGAGGGGAGTGCAGGTACAGCCCATCAATAATCAGAAGTGGCTCTGCAGTGAGGAAACAGTGCAGGCCACCAGGTGAATTGAGTACAGGACACCAGAGTAGCTGATGTCAGAATATGGAGAACAGAAGGTACAAATCTATTGCAAATCCAGGTTTATTAAATTAGCTCCTCACATAACTATTTCTCGTACGTTAGAGACTAAATTTCCCTTTATTATTAAAAAGATATAATTTAAGCACACATTGAAAATAGGTTTGGCAAATACAGTTGTTATTTAGTCTTGGATGTTTGACTTTATACCAGGGTTAAAATATTTTTGGTGTAGCTAAAAATGCTGTCTCTGTCTCTCTAGATGTTTGTGCATTTCTAAGTGGAACAAAGCCTAACTCCTTGATTTCAATGCACTGTTTTTAATTTAAGTGACTGCACTCATCTCTGGTTTCTTAGACTCCCAGAAAACTTATGCTTCATTCACAGGTGGCTTGCTTCTTATTTCTTTCAATAATTCATCTTTTAAAATTTTTCTATTTTTTGAGCTTTTCAAGATTCTTTAGTGCTTCTAGGATTAATTTACCTTTTGTCTACATTTTCAGTTCTTTTTGAATGGATTTTGAAAGGTGATTCCGTACATGAAGGATGCCTTCTTTTATCATCTGAGTATGCTGGCATTATTTTTGGTTTTTTATTCAATTTTTGGCTAGTTGTAAACCTGCCTTCTGTTATTTAATCACAATACATCAAAGAGAACTTTCCAGGTAGATTGTTTTCTCCTAGATTCATTACTTTTTGAAAGCTGTTTAACTGTTTTAACTTAGTGCTATAACTAATGTAACTATTTTGGAGTTGTATTTTCTTTGTTTTTCGTATGAACTAATTAAGAAGACATGTATTCTGGATTGAAGTAACACTGAAGTTATCTACACTGCTTTGTAGTTTTGGATAGATGTCCAAATGTCACTGTCATTCTGAAATTCACTTTATATTTTGCAGCATTTTTTTCTCACCATAAATAATAACTACTATATCTTTATTACAGTGATGGGTTAGGTGCCAAGCTCTTACTGAGAGTTTTCTAAAAGCATAGAAGGCCATTTGTGAAGCCACATCATGATCTCTGATTGAAAGTCTCAAGTCATAAAATACTTGAAAAATTCAGCTATGATTTAAAGGCTCTTTTCTTATTCCACAATGGCATTCTGCAACCCAGTGGGCAGGAGAGACAGAGGTATCCCAGTCAGCATTGGAACTATTCTGAAAAAGGACTTTGAAGCAAAAATGATTATAAGATGCACCCATGTGGCTGGGAATGGTGAGAACCAAAAAGGCTGAAGAGGGGCTGCCAGAAACCTGGCTGTTGGTCTGGAGACATTGCCTCTTCCAAGAGCCACAGCATCTTCCTTGAATGTCCTCTGGAAATTGTTACTATCTTAGAATAAGTATATATGTGTGTAATATATTTAAACAAACGCCTTCTAGATGGTTGATAAGGGCATTAGAGAAAGCTGGGCTTGTTTTCAATTTCTGTATTATCCTACTCATGGTTTGTCTGTTTTTTTATTTGTATACATCAACCAATTTAAGCAACACTTTACAAAATGCTTTATTTAATATAACTTGCAAATAAAAATGCTAACCTTTGCATTCTTTCTTTTCGTTGTAGATAAATCCTGATATTCAGGCACTGTTCATGGGAGTGGATGTGTTATGCAATAAATACTCAAAAGAAATAACACAGGTGAATCTGCCTTAAAACTTTTTAGCTCTGTAAAATAATCAGCAGCTCCTACTGATTTTTATGTGAATGGGAAAAGTGTGAGTGAATGCTTGAAAATTAATGTATGCCCAATACCATCTTTACTTCCTTAATTCCACAGTTTCAAAGTTCTTAAAAAGGCATAAATTATGGTCACTGCTTATTTTTTCAAACTCTCTCTAAGGAGCACTAGCCTGGTTATTTTAATGGTGTAAAATCACTTTCACTGCCATGCAATGAAAAATTAGATCTACCATAAGCTTAAACATGCCCAGATATTGTGCCCTTATTATAGTAATAAAAAGTTACACAGTGAAAACCTGAGTGGGCTACAGTTCTGAGCTGACTGTGCTCTCTCTCCCTTTTTATTTTTTTTTTTTTTAAGTCAAAGCAGGTCTCCTTTTTGTTCAGATAGATGCATTAAATGATTCCAAGGTAAATTTCCTCCTTGTCTTCTCCAAACTCCACGTAGGACTCCTTCCTTCAGGCTTAGTTTCCAGTCAAGAACTTTAGGAGCTGTGTGGGTAAAATGAATGCATCCAAACTCTCATTGCCTCCTCATTTTCTGCGTCTCTTCTTGTACATTCTCCCTGAACCCAGCTGCAAACAAGTTTGATCTTTTGGTGAGTTTCATCTTTTGGTGAGTTCCCTGATCTGCAGAAAAGTAACCCAGGGAAGATCACCTGTTTCCTTCAGCAGTGATCATGGATTCACGTTTGCTCTACTCTATGCTTCACAAACTTCTCCAAAGCTGAGCTTGTTCCCTTTCCTCAGCAGGGTTCCTCCTCAGGTGCCTAGGTGACACAAAGTAAACATGAAGCCTTCCTCTCTCTTTACAAACCCACTTTTTAACAGCATGATCAGCAGTTATTCTGTAAACTGAACAAATGCAGGCAACCACAGCATCAATCACATCTGAATATAAATCCATAATTATTAAAGGAAGGAAATAGAGGACACAATCTGAAAAGACTAAGGTGGGTTTTCTGTAGCCTGAGATAAGCTGTTGGGAACACATTGAAATATAATGAAGGCATTGAGGTATGGTCAGAATTTCTCCCAGCATCAAAAGACATAAGAGCAGCTTGTGCTCTGTTAGGACAAAGGTTTATCTAATCTAATATCCTGTCACAACAGTGGGTGCTTAGGAAAGGGCATGAGAGCAAGGCTGGTGTGTAGTGATACATCTTCAGAACAGCCTCCCAGCTTTCAACAGCTTGTGGCACAGGGATTTCTCAAGGTGGGGTTGTTGCCTTTGCTTTCAGAAGCTTGTGGCGGATATTTTTCCCCACATAATTGTCAAGTTGTTTTCTGAATTTTAGCATCTATCTCATACTGTTGAAGGGAGGTGCACGGGTTGTTCACTGTGTGATAAGGGTTTCCTTTTTCAGGTTTTAACCTGCTAGATTCGTTTGATACTCTTGAATCCCATTCTGGAGGAAAGTGCACTCCATCTGTGCTAATCATTAGTTTCAGACTCCTAATGCATCCCTTCTTCAACTGTCTTTTTTTAACCATGAAGCTTCATATTCCATGTGGTCATTCTTTTACTGAAGCTCTTACATACCTCTGATTAATCTTGAACTATTCCCAGACCTGCTATATCCTTTCTGAGATGTTAAGCAGACTCAGGATATAGTATTAGGCATTTTTAAAGAGAAATAATGATGTCCCCTCTACTTTTTTTAAACCACTGCTAAGATCTGATTTTCTTTTTGACTGGTACTGAGCTCTAAATTGACATATTCACAGATTTCTCCTAGACCCAAGAACACATTTCTGAGTGAGGGGAGGCAGCTCTGAGCCATCACTTTCTGAGGGGATCTTTCTTCCATCAGTTCTTCTGAAGACACTTCTGATTCTTTGATGAGTATTCAGTGGGAACCCCCAGACTCTTCCACAGTGAATAAAAAGTAACCTTTTCAGTTGGATACTCCACTTTGGGTTTATATTCTTTGAGTGTTTCTTCTTGGTTGTCTCTATTCCTACACGTTTTCTGGCAGTTTTCTAACACGTGAGAAGATTTATTAGAAGTTATTACCTGTGGTAATTTGTTCCTCAAGCTCTTGTCTTGCCTTGTCTGTTTTTACTTTTAACCTGTCATGGTTTATGATCCTCATTTGGACGCCAGAAGTGCTTACACATCACCAGGCAGTGTGTCTAACAATTATTTTTTAATTAAGAGGATATTTTTACAAGGCATGTTATAATTGCCAGTAAGACAGATTACTTTTTATGTTGGCATTAATTTTATGTGTTTGCTTAGCACTAATGAATAAGAAACACTGCAGCTAAACTGCCTTTCTAATGTCTTTGCCTTTTTATTGAACATAGTGTTAAAATATGAATCCAGTGAAATAAATCTACCAACTCTAGGGTAGGTCATATTAGATTTAAATAAACTTTATGAGACTTTATCAATGACAATAAATTAAAATGTTTTGGGGTTTTTTTTTGAGAGAACTGAAAGAAGAGATGGTAACTACTTATTAAAATATAGAAGACCTTGAATACTGTGAATTAGTTCTCTTCCATCACTTCTTTGCTGAGGTGTATAAATGTAATTATATGAAGCTTAATGTAACTGTACTTGTTCTCAGATTTCAGAATTTCAAGAAAAACACCGTAAGCATTTATTAGCATACTCCAAACAAAAGGTAACTCTAATTGTGATTTTCTTACTTTTTCTTATGTTTGCCTTGTTACTTTGGTTTATTTTTAGAAACTATATTAATCTTTTATTGGAATACTTAGAATAATTAATCAGGATTGACTCATTTCTGTCATTATAAATACCAGTTTTTAATTGTATACATTTTATGAGGACTTTATTAATTGTAATTACTGTTATTTAATAAAATATTTTAGTTGTGGGGTGACCAAGATTAAATGGAGAATCAAAGGACAGGAAAGGAAGAAACCAATTCTCTGTATGGAGGGGGAAGTGGAAGAGGTGGGGAGAAAGTGATGCTAGAAGATAAGCCTAGAGGGAAGGAAGACTAGGGATGTGAGAAGCTTGAGCTTGACATGAGAACAAGACTGAGGGCTAGTACCCTGAATTCAGGATAGCTCAGTGGGAAGAAGGGTAGGATTAATTATTCTGTGGAGAACAGGTGCTGAGTTTGTGACTGTGCTTCTTCCTTTGTGAAGTGGAAGTTTCTTTTTCACTTTTCAGCTATTTCTAAATATTTGATAAAATAGTTGGCTGTTTCCTTCATTTCTAAGGACATGGACAGGGATATCCCTGAAAGCTACTTGGCAGTGTTGGTGACTCGACCCATCAGTAGGTGTGCCATGTATGAAGTGACAGAGGGCAACTCATACAGCTGAGCAGTTGGCCATTCCATGTGTAAGGAGAGCTTCTGGTGTGGTTGTCATGGATAGAACAGCTTGGAAACTTAAATGCTCTGTGGCTCATTCCTCCCTGTTTTCTGTGACTGCATTTTGGGATCAGTCCTGGAACACTGTGGGGTGTGTAGTTTTTTTCAAGGTCCTGTCCTTCTGTTTTCAAAGCCAGGCCATGGAGGAACCCTGATTTCATTCCCCTTCTGATCTCTTGTGCTGACTCCAGATGGTAAAACTGAAACCTTTAGACAAAGTAAAATAAATCTCTTAATAGATTTTAGCATAAATAAAGATGTTATCTCCAAAGAAGAGAGTTTTGATACCTTTTGATGGTAAGTTTCTAAGTTATTTACTGTTGAGACATGAATTTAACAGTGGTTTTAAAGTACTCAAGGATGCTGCTTGATCTAAGGAAGCTGTTTAGGTGACAGTACTGGAACAGTTGAAAATATAGTTTGTTGCTGCTTCAGTGAGCACACTGTTTTGGGTGGTTTTGTTGTTTTGTCCATTCTGTGCATTTGTTAGTATGTTAAAACTGCTTGCATTGGATCAGGGGCAGGAGAGACTCTCTTAAACATCCACTGAGCAGCTGTGGGTAACAGTGGTGGAGAAATAGTTTGTCAGTGAGGCTGAGGTGAGCAAGGAAGAGAAGAGTGTCCCTGTACAATGATAGACCCATCCCCTCCCTGTGAGTGTTGGTTAGCAATGCTCCCCCTTCCAGAGCTACTGGGAGACAGTCTGAAGGAGCTGGGGAAGTCCTCCTGCCGCTGGCTTTGAGATGAAGGTGGGTGGGAAAAGGGTGGAGCAAGAATGCTTTACAGTATAAATAGTTTGGCAGATGCAGTGATGCCTGGGGAGGTGACAAAGGACAAACCTGCCCTTTGACACAAGTGCCTCTTCCACTCTCCACTCTGTGGGTCTTGGCCTTTGGGAAGAGTGCAGTACTTACTGCATGAGGAAATTCTATTTTCTCCTGCTTGGCTGTCTTGTTTATGGTCCCCTTCCTTATTTCTAATGTGTGATCCTTGTCACTGTCAACCAACAGGCTCTCATGACCTTCATAAAAGTTGCTTTGTTGCTGATCTAGGGAGTTGTGCAGATATCAGTGTGCAGGTGATAGTGTGTGGTGTGGGAACTTGTGTCCATATTCCTGGCAAGTCTAGACCTCGTGTTGTGCCAGGACTCCAAAATACTGAAAACCAAATAGTCCTTCACCTTCTTTAAGGCATTTTGGTCTTAGAATTATCCAGTCCTACAGAGTGACAGTACATTCTTCCTGACGTCTGTACTGGCCACTTTCTTAATCAAACCCAGCTCTCATTAGGAAAAAGAAAAAAGAATACTGAAAAACAGATCTTATGTAAATTACATTTTGCTTTTAATCTGTTCTGCAGAGTTTTACATCTGCAAAAAGAGCATAATATCCCCCACAAATGATATGATTTTATAAAGGTGTATCAGGTAACGTTATTAAAGGACTCAAATAATGTTATGAGGAGAAGAATGAGAAGTTAAGCAAATTCATAATTTGCCTTCAAATCAAAATGTGAATAGTGTGAAGGATTAAGGTCACACAATGGAAATTAAGGATAAAATAGAGATGCAGTTTTGAGGCTACTGAGTAAATTTTTACATCCTTCATAAAATATAATATATGATCGTGTCATGAAAGACTGTAGAAAATACACATAATAGGGAGCTGACCTAATGTTTTTGACCTTAATATTCTTCAATTTTGCAAGCTCATAACATTCTTTAATGGAGATATTTTTGGTTGTGTCTGTAACATAATAGGAGATACTTTTCACTTAAGCTTATTACAAATAGATGCTTCCATGAACTGAGTACATTTTAAATCTTAAATGAGAAATATGGGAGCATCATATTTGGTATTTTATACAGTTATGAAATAGTTCCATATTAAACATAACTTAGCTGTTATATGAGATATGGAAAAGAGGAAGAAAAAGAAAACAAAACTATTTTTAAGCACTTTCTTAGTATTCATTTATCCAATATTACCAGCACACTTAAGAGAAGGTAATCAAACTAAGTCTATAACTGCCAAAAAGAAGTGTATCTTCCAGACTGACTGTTTGATGGATCTGTATTACAGCTATAACAGCTCCAATAAATCTAGAATAGCAATGATGTCTTAAGATTAAAACCAATAGAAAGCAGCCTTTCGACACTTTAGAAAACTAGTTGGATGAAAATGAAGTTGTATATCATGACAAATAGATTTTGTTTAAATCTATGATTATCTCGCAGGCAGCAAAGCTGGAAGAATCTCTCAAGAAAGCAACACAGCAAATACAACAGATACAATGGTAAGTGGTTTAATGCAGCAAAAGTAAATGTAATCAGCCAACAGAAAGGTTAATTGTTAAAAAAATAAAGAAGTTGTGCTTTGTTTGCCTTTCTCATATATTTGTACATAGTTTTACAGAAATACATGAATAGTGATTTCTGACATCAGAACCATTTTATTCACACTAATCAATCATGTCAGGAAGAAATCCTTTTGTTTTAAGATTCAACTCAGTGGTTACTCTAAAAATGAACTTTCAGTAAAGTTTATGACATAGATAATCAGTTTTAAATTTTTATTTGCAGTTACATAACCATTCTGTGTATTTTGCAATGGGCTTTCTAGCATCAGCCTGGAAAGTACTATAATACCTTTCCTGGTGCCTAGCCCATTTACAAAATTACCAGGGTTTTGTAACATGGTTCACATCTTTTCTATTTCTAGTAAAAATTAACTTCCGTTTGGATATTGTTGGGTATGCTGCAGACATTATGGCAAAGCACTTTAGGGAACAGACATTATGATCTGGAGAAAAAGTTAGCTTATCAAATAAATTCTTAATTTGCTTCATGGCAGTTAGTTAATTTGCTTCATGTTAAAACTAGCTGTTGATGGATAAAATGCTTTGATTTTATACTTCATTGATCAACTAGACACTTAAACTAATCCAACCAACTCTCAATTTATATCTTTTTTTTTCTTGTTTCTCCTTTAGTATGAAACCACCTGAAAAAACTGCACAGCTGCTATTTTCCAATACAAGCCGAAATCCATTTTCCAGTAAGACGTGTTGGTTTAAGATCTTAACTATGGAATACCTATCCCTGGATATAGCTATGTTCTAATATTAAATTTCTTAATGACTTCAGTTCCTTCAAGAAAACAGAATGGTTATTCTCCATATCCTCTTCATTCTAGTCATCCTTCCACTTCTGAAATGTAGGTACAAATTAGTTAATTTTCAACGAAAATCTTAACTGATGTTTTATACAGAAAGTCATTTTTTCTGTAATGAGTTTAAAATATTTTCTGATTTTGTGTTTTGTTTCTGCAAACTGTTTATATATGAAAGAACTGAGGAATGTCTTATCTATCCAAGTGTACTTAATAGTTACTTGTATAGATTGTCTTTGTAGTCACTGGAAAAAAATCTGAGACGTGATGGACCTTATTCTAAAGAATTTCTGAATGGATGGATAGATAGACATAGACTAGAGAGATAGATTAATTAGTGGATACATTAATTAGTGAGAAACTTTCCATTTATTATAGGGGAAAACTAAATTACTTGTCTACCTATATGTACACTGTACTTGTCTAAAGTTAGATGGGATGAACTCTAGTAAGGCTTATTTAATTTTAAATAAAATGAGCATACAGCTTGCTCAAATGAAAATATTTCTGTACCTATGATTGTGACTTTCTTTTTTATAAAAAAATAAAATTTCAGAATCCTCCTTGTTGTGGAGACAAGTGACAAATATATAAATATACGTATTTATTCAGACTTAAATACAAGAATAGCAAGGCTGATCATAAAATAACTTTCTCTGTAAATGTCTAAATCAAAGCTCAGAATCAATTAATAGATTTTTCTACTGCTAGTGGGTTTTGGAATAAGTCCTAAATGCTCATATGCATTATGCTTTTTCATTATTAGTCAAATTTAACATCAGAATCTAACATAATTTTAGTTGTTATAATGAAAATGTTATTTTTATTACAATGTCACACTTATTTTGACCTTTCTTGCAAGGGTGGAGGCAATGGAGGTTGATCCTGTACCTTCACCGATGAGGAAAGTAAGTGGTTTTTTAATGTGTTTATATATGTATATAAACACACATACATGCTTTTGATTTGTCCTGCTCTTTTAATGCTGCAAAAAATAGGATTCTCCCCCCATCCTCTTCAAGAAAACATTTCTAATGTACATGCTGGTTTCAGATATGCTGAACTTGTGATGCCAAATTAAATGGAAAATTCTTAAAATCTCAGTATGTTTGTATTACAAAAATATATCTGTTTAAAAAATAAATGTTGCTAATCCATGCAACTGAGAGTTGCAATTAAAGTTCTAACATATTAAGGAATGGAAATATAAGTAAGATTTTCACCTTTACCAGACCTCATGTGGGTGGCTACAGTGCAGATCTGTGCTAACATCTCAGGGTTTCCTTTGTAACCTATGGATAAATTATATCCATAGGTAGGCCTATGTCCATGGTTAGGCCCATGGGCATAACCTATGGATTATAATATGTGTGATTCATCTCTTTCTAAAGGAAACTTTCTGGCCTCATTCCTGTTTCTCTTCCATGACCATAAAGGGAATTTGTGGGGATCAGGATGTAAATACTGTCATTGCAGATGTCTGGAGTTAAAAAAGGTGAATCACTTGGTACTCTTAACTTCACATCACACTGACTCTCAAAACATTAATGAAATTTCATTTATGATAGATAAAAGAGGGTTTTTTAATCCAAAAATAAAATCAGTCTTTATCTTTCATGGTTCTGTTTGCTACTTGACCATGTGATCTTGCTTCTATCTGTGCTCAGGGGCATCAAAGTGTGTGTAATATCTTCCCTTGGTAAGAAAAAGCCAGGTGTGGAGCCAGTGGTCTGAAAGCACTGTTAGGCTTTGATATTTGAGTAGGGAATTGCAAGCTTTGAGTGACGTTGCTAACATGAGAATGAAAGCAGGAGCTTTTCACTGTATTAGTGTCCTGATTAGGAGAGGTAACATCCAGGAACAGATGCTAGCTTAGGAATGGAATCTCACCATAGAAAACAGTGGGAGTGTCTGATGTGTTTCTTATCTGAATGTGACAGACAAGAATAAAACTAAAATACTTGTACTTCCCCCTTGCCCACAGATCTCTAAAAATAGTAACTTAATTCTTAGGTTTTGCATTTTAGTGATATGAATAAAACTGGCAGTGGAGAGTTCCAGAAATCTGTAACACTATTGCTTAAAATGCCTTTAATATTAGTATACTTATTACACTGTGGTTAATGACTTACCATTCATTTAGCTCGAGACACCATCTGGTCCCACAAGGTTATCACTAATAACTCCACCACAGGATGGACGTATGGGTGAGTAACAGTAAAGTTTGCAGCTGAATAACATTTCTATTACATTAAAAGGATGAATAAATTAAAATCCGTACATTAGCAATTTACTAAAAAAACCTGAATTGTGTTAAGGTGTAAGGAACTTGCCAAGTACACATCAGTCCAGCAGATGGGAAATGCTTAAAATGAAGTATGAAGTGTCTTCCTACTACTTACCTCTTCTGTTCTGTAAATTATTACTTGTAGCCAAAAGGATTTGTGCCCAAGTCAACAGCTGTAAGGAAAATACTGTAACAATGTGTATGGTTGAAGAGAACAGGAATACTTGCAATATACATTGTTGACCCTCTTTTAACCTTCATAATTGCATTTGTTTCTAGTTAACAGAGATTAACATTGTCCATAATGCCATATGAAAAATCACATGAGGAAAAGGGGGGAAACTAAATGGAAGTTAAAAAAGTATTTAATAACAAAAGTAAGGTAGTTGAGTTGAGATCAGGAATTTATTGAGAAAAGTGATTCTTTGTTTCACTCTGTCACTGTATTGGGTCTAAGACCTTTTACCTGCCAGTACTTTCTTTCATTCTTGGGCTGTTGCAGAGCTTGGGTAACACTCAGATGCAAATAAGACATGAGCAACAGCCTACTAAAATCAGTGCAGCCTCTTGAGAACTGTTTGTGAGGAGTTTCCCAGAATTCCTGATACTTTGCAGATCTGCTGTTCATGTGTTCCTCTCATTCCTGGTTTTACATTCAACATGTTTCTGTAACAGTGCATTCCCAGGCAGGCTTTTACTTGGCTTCAGCAGTTCATAGAATCCATCTCCAGCCACATAAGAAGCTTTTAGCACTCCCGTGTTTTTACATGGTGTAAATGTCCTGAAACAAAGACAAATGCAATTGCAATGCAATTTCAGTGAAGGAGGAAAAATTGCTTTTTCTGTGTTATGTGTGATTTATATGCTCAGATCCTCCCTAAATACATGCTTGCCTATAAATTTATGGATAACAAGATAAAGGGAGCTGAGGTTAACTGGTTTTTTTATTGTGTCTAAAAATAAATAGATATTTATTAGACAGTAAAATTATATGTAGAGCAGTTATGTGTTCAGCACATTTCAGAACCAGCCCATAAAGTTTGGCAGTGAACAAAGCTGAATGAATCAAAGTGTACGTGCAAAAGGAAGGGCGAGTGCAAACAATGATTTAATGATGCACTAAAGAAAGTTTCCTTCTCAGAGGTGGATGGGGCAAAAAAGGATTAGCTGAAGAACTGGAGCACCTCAGCACAGCTATCTTGATGGTCTGATAATAGTCTAATAAATGAAAGAAGGTGAAAGAAATCAACATTTGTGTTTAACTCAGAACAAGATTTGCAGGATGATGCAGTAGGATTTTTTTTGTGACAGCTAATCTCTTTCATTGACTACTGTAATTGTGCACCATTTTTAAGTCTTCAATAAACCAACCATGAATTTGTCTCAAATCATGCAATTAAAGTACTAATCTTTGTTTCCAAAGATGTCTCTTAAGGAAAATGGGTAATTCACTTTGGTCCTGTTTTCATAAATCTGATTCTTACAGGTAGTGTAGCCTACAGAAGTTCTCAGTCATCTCTAATAATGTCAAGTCAAAATACTGGAGCAGGATCTACAAGGTAGTTAATTTGTACATTTAAATGTTATATTCTGTGCCTGAAGAAATGTTATTGTGCAGGCTGGCTATCATCTACATGAATGTGTTTGTTCTTGGTGGAAGGTTTTATTTAGAAATCACTTTTTTCAAAAATACGCAGAGATAGGCTGAGTTTCTGTAGCTGTGGACATCTGCAGTCATGATACTTCTATATAAATTGTAGTAATTTTATAGTAAGAAAGTGTAACAATGTCTCTGCTTTATCATTCTTATAAAAATCAGAGCTGACAGCACAATATTTACTCAAGAGCTATTCTCTGAATAACCCAGACTTTTCAGTGGTCTGGAGCAGGTGTTTCAGGCTTTTCATTTAAAAATTGAAAATATCTCAAACTGTGAGAATTATTAACATGAAGAAATAACTTCAAATGGTTCCAGAAAAAGTAAACTCTTTTTCCTTATAATCATTAAGCCAAATATATCTTCCTAGGTATTTACAAAGACAAATTTAAAATATATGTAACAAAGTATCTATTTTTTTCCATCTTTGATTCTCATATAATTTTTTATGTCATTCTGGTAATATTTTCTTTTAAAATATTAGCACTGTGAATTTAGGTAATTTTGACATCTCTGGTATTATTATGACACTAGCCTCAAATCACATGCAGGAATTCATTTCATCAACAGATCCACACCTATAGGATTATCACTTAATGGATGTCCATCATCGTCTGGATCACAGAGTAGTAGAAGGGGATCGTGGGCTAATTCTGATTTAAGAACCCCTCAGCTGTATCCACTTACATCACCTTCCCCACAGCTCTCTGCAAGACATCCAATCACCATCTCTGGACTTCTGCAAAGACAACAGTTAGGCAAGTATATTTATAAGATAACATTTAACACTTCCTGAAAAATATTTGGCATAACGGCTAATTTTTTATTTACAGGAGACAGTAGATTAGAAATAAATTAAGCAACATTAAGATGATATTTCAAAATTGGAAGTAGGCTATCAGCAAAATATGAAAAATGCTGATCTTTATGATTGCATTTTGCCTTAGTCTTATTTCCAGTAGAGTATTTGCTATGAAAATGTGTAATTGCTTCACCTCAGAATATTTTAACAGAGATTTAAATCTGATAATGTCCATAAATGTTTTCTAGAAAAAAACTCCACAACTTCCAAAGAATGCAAAAGATACAATAATTTGACAAAACTAATTGTGCAACAAATCTTTGGTTAAGGAGTAGAGAAAAGAAAAACATGAGTGGAGGAAGTGCAGTGGGAGTCATAGCAAGACTGGGATACTCAATGGGAGTCCTTAAATAAAGCAGAATAATTGAGTTGACACATGGGAAAGGAGTAAAAAAAAGGTCTGTAATGAAAAAGATGAATAGGAGACAGTTCCTGCATGACTGAAGAGCATGTTGAGAACGTGGGTGAGAGCTGCCACCTCACTGCATCCAGCAGGGAAAAAAAGGAAATAGAAGGAAACTGCAGTACTCTGAGAGTAAGAAGTGAAGTATTAGTCATCCAGTTACTAGGAATTAGGGAGTGTTAATGGAAATGAACAAATCAGTGAACTCATTCTGAAAATGAGCAATGAATAGGGAATGAGCAGAGGATGAGACAGAGGAGGAAGGAAGATGTGTTAAGGAATAGGGGAAAAGGTGAGAATGTTAAAGTGGTTGGGAGTGGAAAAGGAGAGCAGAACAGTGCATGGGACAGAGCAACGGCTCTAGAGGAAGCAGAGTAAATAATTTATGAAGAATGGAGATAAGACTGCAAAATACTAGTGTAAAAGAGGAAGCAGGATGGACCAAAGGAGAAAGGTGAGAGGACAGTAAAGGCTATTTCTCCTGCAAAGCAAGAGAAGTAGAAAGACAATGTTCTACATAGTTACAACAAAAAGACTAAACAAAAAAGCAAAGGATAAGGAAATGATGGGAAGAAAATTAAGGCAAAAACATTTCCTAATATTTTATTTTTATGTTTTATAAATGATATTATTCATTACGTGTTACTTCTCTGTCATATGATCTGTATCTTCAGTTTAGGAGGGAAAGGCTTAGATATTAATTATGAACATTTGTTGCTGGTGTTCTCCCCCATATTCTGTGATATTAACTTTATTTCTTTTATAATTACCTGCTATCCCATCACAGACTTCAGTAGTAATCTTCCCAATCCCGTGATTTTTTCAGTCCTGGTACTGAGGAGGTACCTGGATGAGGTTATTTAGCACCCTGACCAATCTCATCTTGCAAACCTAATCCTCTGTATTGCAGAATTTGCATCACAAGTTAAAGCTTTTTTTTAAATTTACGTTAAAAAGCTAATTCATCTCTAAAGCACTTTTTTAGTCCATATTAATAAACGTGATCTTTCTATTCCGAGAGTAACCCATCCACAGCAGTTTTGAGTTCATGAAACTTCATGAAAACAAAATAAGAATATTGTAAGAAATTCACTCCTGGTCAGTTATGAAGGCTTACAGCTTGTGGAAGCTCACCTCATAATTGTTTTACTTGAGAAATTTCTGGGCAGTGATGCAGCATATGAAATAATGCCTGAACCTGATAGAATCTCTAAATAATATAGGAGCAACCCTACCTTAGGAGAAATTAAAGTTTAAAAAGCTGTATTGAACTTAAGGATTAATTTTCATTGAGCTATATGTTTGCAAGTTAATTGCAGTTCATATACAGAACAATGGCTTTGGAGATTTGCCCTGTGTAGCTGAAATTGGAACATGGCAAAAATGCTTCTATGGAAAGAGAAACCTAATTTTTTATATAAATACAGAGGAGCATATTTACATTCATGAAAATATCTATAGGAAAGTTGTCATCAAATTATGTAGGTTATATTTTTAATTTTTTATAATTTTCTTTTCCATGTATAAGTTCCCAAAATAAGTTACATGAATAAAGTTTTCCTTTAGTCTCACCAAGTTTTTTTTCCATTTGTACTTGTATTCTTATTCTAGGATCGACTAATTTTGGAGGACATTCAGCAGAAAGATAAGCAAACATCTGTGAATTCTTTTGGTTAATAAGCATCTGGAGAAGCACTACACAGTTTTTGGATATCAAAGTATTTGTAACTTCAATAAAATGTCAAATTGGCATAAACCAGCTAACTGTTCAGCATGAATACTATATTTAAACATCACTGATCTTTCTGATTAACATCTACAGTAGCTTTGAACGGAAGTACAAAGTCTTCTTGTTTTTACAAATTCTGACTTCAATTGTATCATACAAATAAACAGCCTTTATTACCTAAGTGTTAAGACAAAACTTGATTATATACTAAATGAGCATTTTTTGCTGTGAGTGCATTGAGCTGCAGCAGAACTTTGTAAATGGTTGTGCCTGTATGGTATTACAGATGGAATGCAGTCCTAGAAAAAACATTAATTTATGAATTTTTCATTTCAGAATTCCATAGTTTGGTTCTTAATTGGAAAAGGACTTGGCAAAACAGTTTGCACTATTGGAAAGGGATGAGGTTTGAGGGATATCACATTCTAGAGGGCTCTGACAAGCTTGTAACACAGTATCTATTCCACACTCCCAAAAGTTTACCATTTGATTTAGGTAGCAATGATTCCTTCCTGAAGTGGAGTGAAATAGGAGGAATGGGATGAAGAGACACAACACAGTGAAGGTTACCTGTACTCATGCACAGGGGCAGTAACTGGAGACTCTGAATGAAGGGGGCCAGAATGCAACATTTTCCTTCTGAGAATAACTCTTAAATTCATATTTCCACCATTACTGTGCATGTCTGGCAAAATTTTGGTATGACTGAGTCATCAAATACCTTTGTTTTGACCCTAACTTTACCTGGGATCACTCACCATTTACCATCACTGGTAAAACAGTGGAATCTCACAGTAGATTTCCTTTCAAGCAAGCTTTCATTCAAAACATTTAATTTTACAATGCCACAGACATATACAAATAAAGATGTGTAGTGTAACTCTTAAAAATTTCTGCTTTCCTTTAGTTCCAGATGAGCTAGAATAACTTGAAAAATGAGACTAGTAAAATATGATTGCACTCCTCGTGGTTCAGGTAATCATCAGTTTACCTTTTCTGGTAAGCAGACCATGCTTTTGGCTGTAGGTAGAGAAGAGAACCTGGAACATCACATCAGTAAAGAGAAGAAGTGTGTATGGGTATTTACATTATTTTACTTCTACTTTGAACTACTTTATAGTGTCTAGTAGCAGCTTCTACTTAACCTATATTGCTTAATCTGTTTGAGCCCACAGTCCAATCCTGAAGAAAAAAAAATCCAACAACCTCATCTTCAGAGATGCTATAGCTTTTTAGTGCATTTTGAAGAGGAACCAGAATGTAATTTGTGTAAAGCAAAGGCATGGGAGCTACCCATGCTGAGCAGAAATGCTTTTGAGTGACACCCTCTTGCTTTCCAGTTCAGAAAAAACGAAAATTTTAAAAGCAATTAATGCACTAAATATAATGTGAAAGTTTTCAAAACTTGCATCTAAGTGGCTGTTACATAATGCAAAATAATTGCTAGGAAAAAATAATTTAAAAAAGCTGTTTAAGGAATGTCATTTGCCAAATTCAATGCTTTTAGAGTTTGTTCAACAAAAGTTGAAAATACTAAATTCGGTATTTTATTCTAAAGAATATTCTAAAGAGGAGAAGAAGGAGAAAATGCAAGGTTTCTTCTATCTTCCAATAAGCCCAGAAGTTTGCATGTTACTCTCTTAGGCATCTGTCTTCACAGAATTTTTCTTGGTTTTGTGAGGAATTAGTCCTTTTATCTGTAAGGAAATTTGCAGTACACTAACGAAACACCAGAGGGTGCTGACTTACCTCTAAACAAATTAGTCACACCACTCTTCTGGGCAAGGGGAGTAAAATCGGTACTACTCTGGCTTTTTCACTTTGTAATTTGTATGGAAAAGCTACAGACATTAAAAAGAAGAGCAACGATGTGACGTAGAGTCTGAATGTAAAACATCAGAAAAGCACCTGAAGATGAACAACGAGTGTGGGGGACTGAATGAGCTGACCCGGAACTTAAAACAGTAATTCAGGTACAGTAGTGCACAAGTACATGAAAGGTAAAAATGGAAGCAAGGGTTAGTCATGCTGGTGGGGTAAACAGTAGTGGTCTGAAGGAAGACATTATTTAGGCTTGATTTTGAGAGACAGCTTTGGCAACACACTTGTCTCTCAGGATGGGGGCGATGCACCATCACGGTGGATATTCAATGCCTCATCATTAAGAAGTGGTTGCTAAAGCTGTGCTATATAACTTTGAGAGACAGAGACTGAACTGACCTCCAGTTCTTTTCAGTGTTTCTGTCTGCAGATTTCTGGCTTTAAGTCATAAGAGGGCTCTGATTTATTTTCTGCAGTTTTCTCTGAGAGAACACGAGTATATATTTCACTACAAGGGTGTTTTATGCACACACAAACAATAGCAAAGGATTTTATTACAAGTCAGAATCGTGCTATTCATGCAGTGGGGTCACCACTCATGCTGAAGGTATTCTCTTGTTTGCATTATCGTTGCCAACTTCAGCTTCATTTCACAGTCATCACTTATCTCTCTCACAAGGTGACGCTTAGGCCATATAAGGTAGCATCATGTCTATTTATTCCTTTGTCACACAAAGGAAGTCTGTTGCAGACAAATGCTTGGTCTGTTAGACATAATACCTGATACTTGCCAAGGAGCATTTTCTACAATTGTGCCAATTAAAATGTGAAATTGCTACCACTTATTTTTGAACTCTCTTGTCCCGGCAGTCAGGAAAGAATGCCGTAACTCATCAAGGTGCAGCACTGTCGGCTTATTCATGATGGTCCCTTTTTCCCTCTAGAATTTAACCTGCTCACGACCTGAGGAAATGCGATTTGATAATTCTCTCCTTCTGTGGTCTCTGTGTCAAAAATGGCAACATATTTCAGTCTGTAGATCAGCTTTGTGTGCCTTTGGAGCACACGCTGTTTCTGGTGGTCAGACATGTGCCGTCGTGCCACTCTTCCTGCAAGTCTTCCGTGCAGATAGGAAGACACTTCTCATGTCCATGCTGTAGTGTTTGGGGTTCTTTCATATTGAACCTTTAGGATTGCTGGGTATCCCATCAGCTCCAGAAAGCTTTAGCACTATGCAGTCACTAAATCATCTGCATCACAAGAACCCATGACTGCTACAACACTTTGTAGGGAAAACTGCCTTTCCTAGCAAAAGGATTGGATTGATGTGTGTCTCCATGGAGGTTAGTGATGTCCTGCCCCGATGATCCTTTGGCTGGTGTGCCCTATGGGCTCTGGGCAGCTCTCCCATTGATTATGTCTAAAGCCCTGATACATTGTCCCTTGGAATGATATTAAATATTTGTCCTGGACTCGTGAGAGTACAGTAGTAGGAGGGACTGGGGTGCCAGCTGGGCACCTGGTGTCTGCATGGGATAGGGAAAGAACTTCCTGGGGACAAAGTGGTATTAATGTGGTGATGAGGTGGGGAAGGACGTGACTGCGTGTGTGAAAGAAAAGCTTTTCAATGTCAGGAGCAAGTGAACAAGCTTTGTTGTTGAGTTACTCAGTTTACCACTAGCAAAAGAGGAAAAATCTTTCTATTCTGCAAATAGAGAGTGTTACTTTCCTTCTCGATGCAGGACATGGGAAAGGTCCCTCACAGTCCTGCCCACAGCAACCAGCAGTTCCCTGACCTTGCTACCATGGGGTGGTCCAGAAGCCACCAAATGGAGAAAAGTGGCTGTTCTACGTCCTGATCCACCTTGCAATAGTCTGAAACAGGCACTGTGCCCAGCTGTGCTGCCAAGACTCACAACTGAAAAACCTCTGCAGAGAATGGACAATGCTGAGAGATTCCACTTCGATTCTGGTGATCCAGAGAATCACCCCACACACGTGGTGTTCTGTCTGTCCTGACCAACCTGGGGCCTCTCAAATAAAGGCACACAACACATTTCCTATCAGAGCAGTCTCCATCACAAGATCTAGGGCTGCCTATCCCCATATTAAGGCATCTGGAGGAAACAACACAAAAGAGAGGAGGAAATCAGTCCCACTAGACATTCCTAAAGGTTTTTTCTGGCCCCTGCCTTAACTGAGCACACATTTTAGCCATGTTTGACATCCTTGCCCAGCTCAGTGTTGAGCCAAACAGAAGCTGACTTTGGAGATGGTCTAAGTACATCTGTGTCTTTATGCATTTGGCTGTGCAGAATGTGTTAAAAAGTATATATATCTCAGCCATCTCCAGCTCCTCTGAGCTCAAATGATTTGAAACAGGCAGGCTAGAGCTCCGAGAGTCACTGTGGGTGATGACGGGCAAGGCTTGGTGTGATGGGAGTGAGGAACAGATGGGCCATTTTCAATTATGGTCCAGTTCCAACTATGTTTTTGACCTCCATTTGCACACAGGACCCAGACTGGGAGGGAGGCAGCTGTCAGGGGTTATGTTATCCTAGGAGTCACCTGGAACATGGGGACATTGTAAATCAAGATGGTGCAAGAGAGGGAGAGAAAGAGCTAGCTGGGAGATAGAGAGTGGAATAAAGGGAGGAAGAACAAAAGCAGCCAGGAGTATCAAGGAATGTTTTCAACACCAACTACCTCCCAGTCTTGCTCAGCTTTTCTCCTTGTGTGTACTCAGATGTTCATGTATGTTCTCCTTTCTGCTGTTGCCCATACAATGTTAGCTGTAGATTGATCCTGGAAGGCTTTTAAAGCAAGGAGAGACAGGAATAGCAAAATGAGAGCTATTTAAATGGCCCTGATCAAGACTTCTGCTTTTCTGTGCTCTGATATTACTCTTTTTGGAATAGATGTGGAGACATGGATACCTTATTTATTTGTTCCATTGTAAGCTCTGAAATTTCCAGCTTTCTGTTAGAATCTCTGCAGTTCCTAGTAATGGCAGACCATTTGCAAATTATGCAGCTTTTCTAACTAAGTAATAAATATATAAAGGAATAAGAATCAAGGCAAATAACCTTCATAAAGCAGAGGACTTGCGCTTTCCACAAGCGCAGTGCAGTTGCTGTTTCTTCTGACAGCATTTCACAGTTTAACCATATAGAGCCTATAGAGTGTGTGGGTAAAAATAACACAGCCTAGCAATGTTTCAGCCCCATACATTAAATCTTTGCTGGAACATAAAAATAGAGCTCTAGTTTGCCTATGTGAAATTACCAAGTTTGCAGATTATTAGCTCGAATGTAAAAAGCTTCCAGCACAGCATACGGTAAATGCATTAGTGCTATATTCAGGAAATCATCATTTTCCCAAGCTATAGGTCTTGCTGACATATGTGGTGGAAAAGCTAGTTCTGCCATTTGTCTGCTCCCTTCATATCCTCTGATTTTGGTGCAAGTTTAAACCAATATGCTTAATAGCCTCAGTCTAGTATTTTGAAAAGTTGCAATCCTATCTATCTGTGTGGAAAATCACATATCAGTGACATTTGGTTGGCAGAGTGGGTTTGGAGAAAAATGGCAACGGAAACAGTTGGCACTGAGTTTTTAGGAAAAAAAAAGAGTCAGAAAATGTGAGTCTGTATGCAGTAAACTCAAATCGTATTTGCTCATATATCACTTTGTCAGGGTTTTCAATAGCTCTTGTGGAAAATGTGTAGATGAAATATAAATCAGCTTCCACCTATAGTAAGGATTTTTCCTTTAACCAAATTGGTGTTCTCCCAACCTATGCCATGCACAGTATACTGGGTAGTACAACATCGTCCTCCCAAAAGAATGACATGAGCTCCCAAAGTCATTTCTTTGAGAGAAAGAGTGCATCCATTCACATTTTGCAGGACATGTGTGAGGCAGGAGGGTGTGTGTCTGCATTGGCAGAACGACTGATACCCTGCCATGGAGGCACAGGCACATGGTAGATCTGTATCTTCACATGCTCATGTAAATATTTAATACCATGGTTGTAGATTTAGAGGAAAACTACCTTATATTTCTGGTTCAACTCCAATTGGAAACCAGCAAGCCACACTCCAGCCATGGTCCTTCTCCTTCACATTGTAAATCACAGACAGCTAATAACAATAATAATGCTAAGGCATCAGTCTGCTGAAGCA